AAGAAGCCTGTTGGGTGAAACACTTCCTTTCTTATGAAGCTGAAAGACCTGTCAACTACTTAATGGGAGCTCTGATATCACAATGAATTGGTTGACATCACAAAATGGAACAAGCAACAGAAGAGCCAAAGAAATTTTGAAGGAGCAATGAACATCGGTGGCTGCAAAGGAGAGGCAGCACAACTGAAGCTCAGAAGTGATGAAGCCCCAGCAAGATTATAGGGCTGAAGGCTATGACACGGACCATGTGGAAAGGAACCACAGAAACAAAAGGCAAAGATTGGCTGGAGATGACAGCGCCAAAAGGTTAGTACCCCAAGCCCAGAATGAGTATGTGACAACTAAAATGGAGAAGTACCCACAACTGACATCGGTTTGTCAGTGATGGGGGAGAGAGAGAAAAGGGCAGGTGTAGAGTGAGAAGGATAGCTAGCAATGGAAGGGGACGTAGCTAAAGACCAAAGATATGGGAACTGGCCAGGGAAGAGTAGTTGACTAATGATAGGGGTGGGGAGAGAGAAAAGAAGCAAGAAGGAAGATGGTAAATCAACTGTGGGGCTCATATGGCATATGGAGAAGGTCAGATACAAGGAGGACGAGTGCTTTTTTTCTGGGGGGACACAGGGGAAGCATATCCCTAAACCTTTTGTGAATCTAAGTTTGGCCTCTTTGAGGGGCAGTATTTCAATATGAGTAGGAAAATGAGAGTACCCCTAAACATTTTATTTAGAAAAAAAAGCACTGGGAAAGACTATTATGAAGAGAATGAAATGGGTAGTTGGGAAAGGGCTACCTTGGGTGGAAGCCATGGCTCAGTGGCCCAGCACATGACTGGCATGCATAAAAGACATAGGCTGAGTCCCCAGCATTTTCAACTAAGCAACAAAACAGATCTCTCTCCCTACGACCTTGAGAGCTTGCTATCAGTAATTTATTTATTTTATTTGATGTATTAAATTTCTATACCACCCTTCATCCGAGGATTACAGGGTGGTTTACAATATGGAAGCACAAAAAATACATAAAATAGTAGCGAATAAAAACAACAGCCCACCCCCAAAGCAGATTGTACTGGATTAGATCAATTGGGAGAAATGAATCGGAGTAAGGCAGAATCATGTGCTCCTACAAAAAGAGGAGCGACCAAAATGCAATAGATGGAAACAAGCAATGGGAACAGGTGGTTGGCAGATGGAGATTAATAATGATGGGAAGATGGCCTGCATGAGAGCTATGGGCATGGCAAGCTCTGTCATATGTCCCTGAGGTGCCTTGACAGCTCAGCAGTAGCCTCAGAATTCCCTTGTACCATTCTGCTCCCGACCACCAAAGCTGAAGAAGAGGATAATCCTCACCCTCCATCTCCAAGGTTGGAAGGAAGGCTGGGGTTCATTACACTCATCTGAGTATGATGGAACATTTGCCACAGCAAGCAGAACCACTGGCCTATACATGCAGGAAAGGTTGTGAGGCTGAAGGGGATTCCGTTCTCGCCTCTCAAAGTAATAGCTTTGTTAATTTCTGCTGGTATAGCATATTCTTATAAAATGCCAACGCCTTTTAAAATGCTAGCATCCCTTGTGGCTCGTTTTGTAGCTACACACATAAATAGCAGCACACTAATCTCTGGTATACAGAATTATGCTGCACAAAGTGCTCCCTGTAAATGCACAGGTGGCTATGAATAAGAAGCCAGCAAAGAAAAGTACATGGCTCAAACCATCCAGGAATTACTCCGAGGGGGAAACGGCTCCCAGCCCCAAATTAACCATGTCAGAAAGTATGCCTGATTCTTTAAAGAAGCATTACAGAGGGGTCACCTAGGGCACACTGGTATGGCACACTTCCCAGTTCAGCACAACAGTGCTGCATCAATTCCTTTAAAAAAGAGCGCAGGGAAAACCCATGCCAACTTTGTTCATTGAGCTGTACAGGCTGAAATAGTCTACAGAGGTCCCAGATGCCCTCATTCGAGATAACAGGTAAAAGGCCAGTGTAGTTTCAAAGTCAATCATGTGTGGATTGCATGGGACAGATGTGCATTAGACCTCCCTGAAATCATTTCTGTAGACATAGCTATAAGATAGCTAATAAACAAAGCTAATAGATACATTAGCTAAAAGATAGCTAATAGACATAGCTAAAAGCATATACTGATCCACGGCTGGTGGGGGCTTGAGTTAAGAGAGAAAAAGAGCCCACAGTTCAAGCAATGAGGAAACCCAAGCATCTAAAGGACTATGTTAATCAATGGTAAACTAGGAGGGACCCTGACTTTATTAGACTGTTATTTCAATGTCTATTAGTTAGTTGTGTATGCCACTCTGTATTGCTCTATCACTCTTGAGAACTTGGATGCCAATGCAGCGTACCACCTTCTACCCTTCAAAACTAGCTTTGCACTCCATTACAGATTTCTCAAACTGCATGCATGACAACTACTGTATTTTTCGCTCCATAAGACACTTTTTTCCTCCTAAAAAGTAAGGGGAAATGTCTGTGTGTCTTATGAAGTGAACGCTGCACAGAGGAGGGACGGACGCTCGCTTTAAAGCAGCAAAGCGGGACAGGAGCCGCTTACACGGGTGTAAAGCAAGCACAGTGGTACCTGTGTAATCCCTCTGCCCCTGCACTCGGCCACCCCCTTGGGATGTCACTCGTGTGGGCAACGTACCACGTCCCCACAGGCGACGTGCCACCATGCAAGACCCTCCCTCCGCCACTGGTCTTGCCGGGACAGTAGTGCCTTCCTTTGCAGAAGTGTGAAATTTGAAGGGCGGCTGTGGTTTGGTCCTTGTGTTGTGTACAAAGGTGTGAATTAGGTACGTTTAACTTTAAGTGGAAATTGAATCAGATTTCTCCCTCATTCCTCCCTCATATGAAAGCCCCCAGAGCTCTCTGCAATGAACAAAAAGGAAGAAAGTCCCACTTCTTTTGGCTTTATTAAAATAATTGTGTGGGGCCATACCATACAGTCCTTAGATCTAAGGGACTCAATGTGGGAAGCTCATATATTTCCACTGCCTACCCCCCTTACTAGGGGATAAAGTCTCTCTTCATTTGTTAATGACAGTTATGATGGTTCTTAATGCCACTGTTGACTGCTGTTCATTTTACATGGTTGAAATATTATTCTGATATACCGGTAGTTAAATAGTTTAGTACAACATTTGATTCAGAATACTGTGTATTTTTTTCTTGTTTTCCTCCTCTTAAAATTAGGTGCATCATATGGTCAGGTGCGTCTTATGGAGCGAAAAATATGGTAGTTGTGAAAACAAGGGATGAGTCTTGCACACCAGCACCTGTTAAATCCTGTGCATTCAAACGTTATTGTTCCAGAACTCAGGTCACATTAGATGTCAGAACTCCTTAGTCTTATTTAGTTACGGAAGTTTTTAATGACTGGTGTTTATACTGTATTTTTAATCTTTTGTTGGAAGCTGCCCAGAGTGGCTGGGGAAACCCAGCCAGACAAGTGGGGTATAAATAATAAATCATCATCATCATCATCATTCAATTTAAAACCTAGTGATCTTAAATTCTCGAGAATAATCTTTTGTAGAATATTCTCAAGAATATTCTCGATTAATGAGAACATTGTACCACTGAATGGCACTGCAAAAACCAATTACTGGCACTAAATAAAAATATAGAAACATCAACTGTTTATATCAAGGCCACCTTACATGCTGCTACACATAATTGTATAGGCCTAGGTACTTTAAATGTACAAAGCATTAAAGGTACTTTCTGTAAAAAAAATCATACTGTATGGCCAAGGGTACAGAATTGCTAAGAATAAGGTCACACCAAAATGTGGGGGAGAGGCTATTACATATACAGTGGTACCTCGGGTTAAGTACTTAATTCGTTCCGGAGGTCCGTATTTAACCTGAAACTGTTCTTCTTAACCTGAAGCACTACTTTAGCTAATGGGGCCTCCTGCTGCTGCCGTGCCGCCGGAGCACGATTTCTGTTCTCATCCTGAAGCAAAGTTCTTAACCTGAAGCACTATTTCTGGGTTAGCGGAGTCTGTAACCTGAAGCGTATGTAACCTGAAGCGTATGTAACCCGAGGTACCACTGTAGTTGAAATATATATGAATTCAAATGTTCATCAAATTATGTAGTTCACATTTCAGAACTACCAATGGTGAATGACACAATGGCCAGTAATATAGCTGGATAAAAACAATCATTATTCATTACTTACACTGGCAATATCACAGTTTGACTTATTATTTACTAGGTTTTTTTAAATGTGGGTTGTAAAACTGGTTCTTACATTAGAATTTACAGTTTGTGGAGAATATTGTCTGGAGAATTTTCTAGCAAAGAATATTCTCACCTCACATCACTATTAAAACCTAACTTTGCAATGCACATTTTGTTATTGTAATATACTCTTTTACTGCACCTTTGAGGAATAAGAGTTCTCTGGCAATGCAACTCAATCTCTTATGTAAAACTGCAGTTGCCCACCCTGAACTTTTGAAACAGGGATGGCTACAGGAATGAAATTAAAAGGGTTGTTTCTCTTTCAGTCAAATATTTAATCAATAAAATGACTCAATAATATGACAGATTACTAGCTATTGCTTTTCCCAACCTGTAGTGCCAGTGCAGGATCAAACATACAGCCAACCAGCTTAATGTTAATTAAGAATAAAAGTTAAAATCTGGCAATTTTCAAGCGTAGTTCAACTCGTGTACAATAGCTTTATAAGGCTAATCCAAGATGCAGTCCTTGCAACTAGTGCTAACTAGAAAAATTATCTTCTCCACTTCTACTAACTCCCACAAAGCAATGATGGAATCTCTCTACCTGTTGCATTTGAAGGAAACCAAACTGCTTTCTGCTCCTGCCACATCATCTGCCAGAGAGCTGAGATTTTCAAACTCTTAACAGAGGTTAAGAGGCTTCACTTGCCTTAACAAATCCGTCCTTATGAAACAGCAGAGCTAGATCCTAGATGTGGGATCCTAAAAATTCAGCCTTCAGGTTCCAGAACAGGATTCTCCTAAGGACAAAGCACAGGTAAACAACAATATATCAGATTGCTAATAATACACTGTGTGTTGGGAGAACAGAGATGGGGCAGAGAATATTTAACAATGTCAAATGTTTATAATCACACTAATCTAATTCTTTCTTGCTTAATAACAACTGATTTAAATGATCCAGAAGACAGTTTTATGACTTTACTCATTGACAGAAAAATATAATCTCCAACAACTGCAGTTTGCATAGCTAATGCATGCAAATTTCTACAAGCAAGTAAGAATGATGGGTGACTTGGACTTCCCATTGATGTGAAGCCTCTTACAACACTAGAATTCAATATGGTCAGTGATAATATTTGGCAGCTGCTAATTTGTGCAACTGATTAGAACAAGCAGAATCAGATGAGCGAAATGACTGCAACCTTTCAGCAAAATCCCACATGAAAGATTTTAAAGCATGAACTAAAAGGGTTTGGCAAGAACCTTTGGCCTTTGCCACATGAGATACTCTTACAAGTAACCCTAAAGAAAAAGGCATTTCAAGTGATACAAACAAGTATACCCCATTGTTCTGGTGGTTGGCATCTGTCTGTCTCGGTAGACAACAGAGGGGTGCACCTTTGGGGGTGAAGTCAAACTGCTGAAAAGGTCGCAGCGCCTGCTGTGGCTGTAGAGACCAATATGGGAGAGACATGTTTTGTTGCAGCTGGGACAGTTGAAGGTGCCCGGTTGTGCTGCTGCAGATCCACCAGGGTGCTTCATTGTTCTGGTTACACTTAGATTAAATGGCTGGTTAACAAATTACATCAAAAGGTAATACACCATGAGGTTTTGTGGTGAAATCTGTAATGTGCAATAAGGTTCCATGCATTAGTTTCAATGCAGAAAACAATGCTGTGGTTTGTCAGAGCCACAGACAGCTCTCTCTCTGTTTTCATGGTTGAGAAAGCATGATGATGTAATTAATTAGCCATCCAGCTAAAATTAAAAAGGAATAAAACTAGATTATTATTTTTAATGGCAGCAAATGGGTGTAAAGGACAATAAATGTTAGTAGCGAGATAAGAAGGAAACTCAAGACTGTCTGTCATTTAGGTTACAGCTTACATGTAGTTATGTAAAATCATGACTGTGCCCATTGACATCTTGAAATTGGTAAGCTAATGAACACCTTAGTGAGATAAAAGACTATTTATTCCTATTCAGATCACAGGTGATTAAACTGAAATTCATTATCAGTTGTATTTCAGGAGTTTCACACTGGAGTCTCCCTTTGAAGTATCTGTGCTCAAGAATAGCCACCTTAAAGTCGGTAACAGTGTTCCTGGGAGGTTGCAATGGTCTCCTACTGGTTTCTATTGCCCTTTTTTATGTCAGTTTTTTGTCTATTTACCATCAATGATGCTTACTGCACATGTCAGCAAGGAAGGAGCACATAGCCTCCCTGCTAGGATGGAACGGTCTCAGATCCCAGCCTACTGACAGAGGTTTGGATTAAAATAAAGCTCTGTGTTTACTGAATAATCTTTTTGTTGTTTCAAATACTCTGACTACATTTTCATAAACTGCATTTTATACAGTGAAGAGATTGGTCCCTCCCCTCCACACACATCCAAATGAGAGGAGAAAAATCACAATTCAGCGTTAAGGCTTTGAAATCTACTTTTCTTCAGTTCCTCCATTTGCACAGAATTTCTAACTGCACTAAAACTGCAGGTTCTACAATCACATTTTTTCTTTAAACCCATATTACTTGCCTTGAAATTAATAAAGTATCTTCATATGCTAGAGGGGCAGTAGGTACACAGAAAAAATTATTGTCATCTTAGGTTGCTAACAGCAACACTTGGCCTTTAAAAAACTGATTGATTTGTTGTCAGCTATGCCTGATGCTATTAACAGATGGAGGGGAAACTAAATTCTACTCACAAGTAGACACACTAAAGTTAGTGGTTCCAAGTTATCCACTTATTTCAATAGATCTACTCAAAGTATGACTAACAATGGATACAACACAATGACAATATTAAATATTGTTGCTATAATAAATTTTTAAACAGGAAAGTATTTTATTATATTTTTTTACCCAGCATCTCCTCCCATAGGAGCCCAGAGTGGTACAAAATTAGATAAAAACAATCTAATTAAAATACTGTTAAGAAGCATTTTTATGTGGGTATCAGTAAGAGAGTTTATATATGCAGTACAAAAAGCAATGAATAATAGGTCATCAGCCCCAATCATCCTTGCCAAAGGTCCAGGCAAACAGGTACATTTTAAACTGTCAATGAAATTACATCACCATAGGAGACAAACACAATTCTACAGGGGGAGAGGTCCAATGTTCCCTGCGGCGGCGACTTAATTGGCCATGCCCAATGGTGGAGCTATGAATAAGGCCTCCATCACAGATCTTAAGGCACAAGTCAACAAGTATTGGAAAAGATGCTTCTGTAAGTACTAAGGCCCTAAGTTGTCCAGGGCTTTTAATACTAAGGCCTTGAACAGGAACCTTGAACAGGAACCAATAGCTCAGAGGCAACCAGTACCATGCTTTCAGGATTGGCATTATGTGATCCTACTTTGTTGTCCCGTTTATTGGCCCTCATGAAGCCCGTCACTGCCCCCAGACACCAGCTTAGGACCCGAATAGTCTCTCCTGATTCAGATGAAATTCAGAGATGTAACTTGGTATCAGCAGCATACCAGTATTCCAGTTAGTAATGCAGTCCTTCCTGTTTCAAGGACCCAAACTTGTTGTATGGCGGAAATATTGGACATTTCTACAGCCAAGTTCAGCATGCCAGGTTTTAAATTATGGACATGTTCATCAGCATCAGAAGCAAACTGCTAGCATCATCAGGCTGGCCGACCTCTTTCAGAATAGATCCCAAGTGAGCAATGTTTGCCTCAAAACTATTTTTCAGCAGACCTTGGAGCTTTGTATCAAGCCTAAACCACCCTGCCTTCACCCAGAGGAAATTCACTGTTGAATCATGTCAAGTACTGTCGAATCATAACTTGGAGAGAGACAAAACACAGAAAGATTTGTTTGGTTGATTCAAATCATCCTTACTCCTTTCTGGGTGCTCTGTTGCTGAGCTCTTTTGAGAAATCCACATGGGAAGAGGCAATGGCCAGGTCTGCACATCATAGTAAGTGTGAGAGTGTGTCTTATCATGACCATATAAACACGCTGGCTCCCAACATAATTTTTAGTTCAGCACAGGATGGTAACTCAACCAAGACTTAGCTTACAGTGTTATGCAAAGCCAGGATTGCGGTTAAAGTCTCTCCTCCTCAACCTTGGCTACAAATCATGGTTTAGGAGGAAATACTTTAACGGCAATCCTGGGTTCAGATGACACAGTATGCCTACCCTTGAATTATTTGCCAGTCCAATCTATAAAGTCCAGAGATGAGCAAAATGGCTGTTGCCTTCTTCACAGAAAACAGTGTATATATACACTAAGCCATAGTACAGCTTAGCGTGATATATGAACATGACCAATCTGTGTGTTTAGTGGGTCTCTTGGCCTAGAAACACACTATGAGAAGCTGAGGATCCAGAGTTGTTTAAACTCATTTTTCCTAGGTAAAAGGTTATGTTTCCATCACCTAATTGGAGCAATCTAGTACATACACATGCACACAATTTTTCAGCTTAATTATGGCCCCCAACTAGCTCACACTAAGACATATTTTTAACCATCATCATTAACCTTGTTTCACAGGTTACACAGACTCTTGTGACAAGTTTAACTACCGCTGCCCAAATGTTGTTGCTCTAATAAGCTTAGTGGATTAAAATTTAGCCATTTAAGTCTAATTGACCAACTTCTTATAAAGGCCTGTGACCTTGTACTCCATGTACATATAACACACTGATATTGAGTACAAGTAGACATAAGAGGGACATCACACCGTCATGCTTTGGGGGCAGAATGATTTAAACCACACCGTGGGGTGGTTTGGGACTCCTCCAAGTGCACTTTGTCCCTGAAACAGCTTTTGCCTCTCCTGTCAGAAGTGAACTCACCCCCACCCTGAAAACACTGGTAAAAAGCATTGAGGGAGCGAACAACGCAGGGTGGAGAGTTTAGTTACCTCTCATGCTGTGCATGAAATGCTCCCTCCTTATGCACACTCTGAAGGGATTCAGTAGTAACACAAGCATCCTTCACACCCCCACCCCCACTGGGAGGGGCTTTCACCAAAGGTAGAATAGCAGTTACCATAGCAAGCAGCATTCAAACTCTTATATGACACTACAAAAATTAAGACGTTAAAGAAATTAAAGATTCAGGTAGGTAGCCGTGTTGGTCTGATGCAGAAGAAATATATATAAAAAATAAATAAATTGTCCAGTAGCACCTTAGAGAACCAACTAAGTTTGTTCTTGGTATGAGCTTTCGTGTGCATGCACACTTCTTCAGCTTATTTAAAGAAATTAAATTCTTTAGAAAGTCCCAAAGCCTTCCATTTCACAGACTAAATTACTGAATTGGTTAAATGAAAGAACCAATGAAGTCTTTCTTTTGGGGAAAGTTATTAAAAGAAAAACACAAGTCATCTAGAAGAGAGCGCTTTAAGCTAGGCTGCCTATTGACTTATTTCTAAAATAAGTTTTTTTAAAAACTACATTAGGATTCTAATATAAAAAGCAAGCAGAAACGGAACTAAAGAAAACAAACATCAGTCGCCTCCCAGCAATGACAGGCATTAATATCATGCAGGTAGCTTTGAGTGGATGCTGGCTAGTTTTTAATATATCAAAACCGTGCAAGAGTTAACGCAGCATATTATCACCTCAAACAGTGTAGCTAAATATCCCAAAAAAGCTGGGACCTAATTAAATATGTAACCAGCCCAGGTTATGAAAAAACAGTGCCAAGGTAATATAGATGGTTCATATCCTTCCAAAGGAAAGTATCCTGTCAGGAGAAAAAGAAATAAAGTACTTCTATATACTGAGAAATAAAGAGTTCAGCAGAAACCCACTTGGAATAGCCTAAAGATGGAAGGTAAGAAACAACTATAGCTACAAAGACATGAAGAACTGTTGTTATTTGACCTAAATATGAATTATATATAAAATCTAAAGCTGAAACCTCCACTACAATGTGAACATGTCAAAATACATTAGCAATATACTGTTTATTCTATCAGCTAAACAGCAGATATGCGCCTGCTGCTCAAGAGCCATTTGACTGACGTGATCCTGAAACCCGCCTGCTCGCATAAAAAGCCTAATGCTTTATTCTGCCCTAGAATCACCAGATTATAAATGTGAAACGAGAGCGCTAAGAGCAGAGCTCAGAAACTGTGACATCAGCAGCACCAGCAGAGTCAGAGTGACTTCATGAGACTGCGCACCACGGGCAGCAGCGAGAGGCCTGGCAGGGTGTCAAGTGCGCAAGAGGATGCGCCTCCAGTGTGGGTAAGCTACACTAATACCGGAGCAGTCTTTCCAAATGTAGTAGCAAAGGAAACATCCAGCCAGGACCTATGCAAAGCAATTTATACTGTAGTTGATGGTTTTTCCTTTTCAAAGGTGTGATTAATAGGAGAACTGGCTGTGTACCGTGTCTTGAAGCAAAATCTCCTGACAATGAGCTGCAAACAAGGAAGCAGATTTCTGCTTCTATGATGGAACGTCACCCTCCTCTGTGCTTCCCATTCCCATGCACCCTCGAAAATCTGTTCCAATGGGTTTTGGGACCCTTCCAGTGAAGGTAGGAATAAGCTCCAGCAACTAAAATGGCAGTCAACGTTTTCATTTTTGGAAAACTTAGAAGTTTCCCCACCCCCCTTTTTCTTAGAGGAACTCACTAGGATACCTTCAAAATCCTGAATCTCAGGCACACATAAGGCCAATGATTTATATGCATATATTATAGATGCATCAGACAAGAGTGAAAGAAAAACACACTCCTTAAGTTTGGTTTGCTGTTTTTTTTGAGAAAGGAGGCTGTTTACAAAGGGCAAGGATGCTAGGTGGAAGTGTGAATCATACTATTTAATGTGCAATGTTTCCTTATAGCCACCTGCAAAAGACCAAGGGAGAGATTTCAGAACAGCAACCATGTTAACACATGTTGCTAACAAGTGATTCCGGCATGCATTTTAATATGCAATTTTATTATATATTTTTAATTTAACTTGCTTTTAGCTTCTGACTTTTATAAGTAACTTTAACATACATTTTATAGTTTATGTACCAAGCTCCCATGGATGTAACTCAGGATTCTAGTAAAAAAGAGCAGAGTAGGTCCTGCCAGCCTTAAGCCTGTCTGCCTCTGTTCTACAACCAGGAACTTCTCTATTCCACCATAAGGGGATGACTACTTTAAACAGATAAAACCACTAAACAAGATCTGCAAGAACAAAAATATGACGTGACTGATCCCTTGATGGTCCAGCTCTAGGCAAAGGACAGATAAGCACACAGAAGTTCCTGTGGGAGGTTCAAGACAGAAAACAACACATGCTTAATTCACTGAATTCTTCATCACAGGATGTTGGAAAGACCATCAGCATATCCTGACTTTTAAAAAGGATGACACATAAGTATGGAGCTGTATCAAATACTACTGGTCACGTAACCTATAAAAAGGACCCCATGTTTCTAAGAGGGTCAGTCCCAAAATACTCTGGGGTAGATGAAAGTGTTGCTGCTCAAAGGTGAATCTCAACCAGCCAACTTTATTTGGAATGGTGGGAGATCAGTTGCTTAGTGAATAGAGTGCAGGCCTGCAAGGAAGAATGGGTATTCCTATAAGACTATGAATGAGTTTAGGCTGTCAAACTTGATGGCAGCTCCAGAAATAAAGATTGAGGAGTCACTTAATGCTACATGGGGACTGAAGGCGGTTGAGAGTAAAGGATTCAAAGACTATGTTTAGAAGACTTCAAACTCTTCGCAGAGTGCAAGAGGGTTTTTTCCTTCTGGTTCCTGGTATTGCCTATGAGAACAATACAATTGAGAATTTCTGACATGTCACTGAGAAGAACAAGACCACTGAGTTGAAGGTTTACCCCAGTGCTTATCTCATGGGAGGGTAAGCGTTGGACACCATCTATTTTAGATACTATATTGCTATCAGTTTGTGTGCTAAATAGCTTTCTCCTCAATCAATGGGGCACACGGTCCGTACCAAGTGACCTGCCATGGGGCAAACAGCAGCTTGGGGAGGATATATTTTAATTGGTAAAATGACTGCAAGGGGAGGGTTAAACTCACACTCCTCCCGCATCTCCACTGTTTCAATCCGATTTGGAACTTCCCAAAGTGCTATTAACTTTTTTTAAAAATCCAAACAAACAAACAGCGAGAGATCCTGTTCATGAATCTCTAGTCCTGCCATAAGTCAGAAGGTACCGGTATATTTTGACATGTAAGACAGGATACAAGGAGGTAAAGCTTGGATCATCATTCCAACTGCAAAACAAAGGAAGGTGAACTGAAGTGGCACTGGGTAGAAGGAAAGAAGGGTGTTTAGGCAGGAATGTGTCTAGGCAAAGTACACACAGAGAAAGAGGAGCTCAGTTCCCATCCTGCCAGCTGTTTTAGTTTCTTCTGCACAAGGGAAACCGAATCACACACTACAATGCAACAGACATGCATTTTTGTAAGGGTGTGGCATTCAAAAGATTCTAACCTTAGCTGTGCTTTTTTGCCACTTCAAGTTTCTTCAAGTTTTACAATGCCAGTAAGAAAAGTGTACATTGTGGTCAAATACTACCAGGCAATGCAAGCTCATAAATGAGATAAAGTGTCCTGCACTGCATGTACTGCCAACTGAGATATTCTTTCCTTTCGTTTTCTCCCATTCCTTTGGCTTAGAAACAGAGTACAGTGGAACCTCTCCTTACTGACGTAATCAGTTCCGGAGGTCCATCCATAAGTCAATCCGGCAATTGCTTCTGCGCATGCGCAAATGGCAGAAGCCGTTTCTGCGCATGCGTGAATCATGGCAAACCCGGTATTTACTTCCGGGTTTGCCGTGGTCACAACTTGGATTGGGCCCAAGTAGAGGCGGTTGTAAGTAGAGGTTCTACTGTATTCAGGTTTAGAGCGCTCCACCCAGGCTTAACAAAAAAACAAGGGCTGCAGGGCTGAGGAAATATTTCAAGTTTCTGGACAACCTGGAAATGATTCCAGCCTGACCCCACACAAACACAAACACAATTAAATACTTGGCTGTACTCACAAAAAGCTAGCAGAGAATTCAGAAATGCCCATGTTAGGGATCAAATATCTTTCAAATTTCTGTCAGGTAAGATTAACAGTAATAGCCAACTAAGTCTTATTTTTAGTTTCTTTCTCTCTATATGTAAAATAAATAAATATCACCTTAGGAATTTTGAAAGAGGTAGCAACAATATTCCCTTTGGTACTTAACATAATATATTGCTGATTTATGAGCACACTGGGTAAAGCATTTTCTAGGGAACACTGAATCTCAGTACAAATGTTACACTTAACCATGGTACCAATACCCTGGATGTTGCCTTAACCCTGGATGACCCCAAACTTACAATGTATTTTGGAGAGGACCTATAGGGACTCCTATCACACCTAACCAGTATCCATGCTGGAAGGACCTGACGGAAGCTGAGCATTCAAGAACCTATGGAGCACCACAGGTTCCTGTTAGTTTGCATTTCTTAGTACAGAAGGTATTGATCTGATGTGTAGAAATCTCTCCTAATTAATTCAAGAAGCTTCTGGAAGCTTTGTGTGTGAAAGAAACAAGCAGAAAGTTCATGATGTTTGGGTTACTCCTTTGGAGAAACTGAGTACAGCTGGCTTAAGCTGGTTCTGTTATCTCTTTCCGGCAAGGTCATGCTGACTATGATAATAAGGCCAGAAGGAGCATGGGTTTCACTTTCTCTTTCTATCTCTTTTCCTTCTGATGTGGTGTTCTGTAGACATAATAGGTTATTGTAAGTTTAAGATAAGTCTGCTGCAGCTGGATTTCTTAAGGACAGTGCCAATCCTGAATGTATTGGATTTGTGACCATTATGCTCATTTGCCTTCAATAGCAGTAAAGCTCTGCTGGATGAAATTAATTGCCTCTGGTCTATTTTTCTGGGAATCCTGCAACATGTTTAAGTTTTTACTCTGCTAACTATACATCGGAGTTCTGCTCTGAATCAATAATGAGTAGAATTCCTTGACAGTTCCTACCCCTTCATTAAACAATAGTTTATTACAAGCCAAGACCATAAATCAGTTTCAATCCTTCCTTCTTTTAATAAACCACCATTAAAGCTGACCATAGTTTGTCCTTTCCAGCTATAACAATAAACAGAGGTTAGAGGAAAAACAGGAAGCAGGTGCTTCCAGTCCCCAAAGACGGGCGCAAGTCCAAGGCTCCCTCACATAGCACGAAACCGCAGTTTATCATTATATCCAAGTTGGGTCATGGAAGCCATTGGTTAGTTTACTGAGCTAAGTCTTGCCCTTGAGAGCATACAAAAGTCAACCATGAAACTTGTCACCTGCAAGCATAGAGGCTGGGTAAGTGGGGCAACAGTTTTTCATACGTCCCTCAATGAAGCAGATGCTTAACTACTTCATGAAGATTCACTTCAAAGGAGGTACTTGGAAGCAGTCCTTAACCTAGGTTTTATATTGAGGTATAATAAACATCTAATCTGGCCTTGATACCTGAAATATAGATTTTTAGGGCCTACCCTATTCTTGTGGCTATAATTCATTTTAGAGTTTTAGATATTGAATTTTAAATTGCTGTACCCTGCTCCGAGGCCTGATGTGGTAAGTAAGAAATTGAATAAACAGCAGTCAAGGAAAATAAACCACAGTTCAGCATTATGCCTGCAAGAATAACTGCTGCCAGGTTTTTAATAAACACAAACTACCAGGTTTCAGAGAAGCATCAATTACCTGAGTGACAGGAGTACTGCAACTCTAAAACAGATTATTTTGTTTATTTTTCCAGTTACTCTATAGTTAATGCAAGGTATCAAAGTGTGAAGTAACTGTGCCTATAGTGAACTTTCATGTCTGACCAGTTACAAGTACCTAGCAAGAAATCTCATAGTGCTTTGGACGAGGGGTTGATGCAACACCACCAAAATAAGATTAAAATGTGAATTAAGAAAAAGGAGTGGTGTCTATGAAAGAAAGCTAAAATGAAAGCTTCCAATTCAAAATTTGACGGGATTCAGATAACAAAAGCTGTCTAGTCCAAAATTTAAGAGCTTGAAGATAAATTGAGGTCTCAAAATCTTAATTAAATTATGAAATATCACTTTCATTTCAGCTGGCTGTCTATAAAGCTTTGAGACTGGCAGTTTTTAAATTCTTCAGTGCTAGGATGCCTTAAGCACCTACTATACTATTAGGCACAATCTTATCGGCATCCTTGCAAGTGCTATTACAGTACTGCCTGTGAACTCAATTCCACCGATATTCTACGGCAGCAGTTCTATACCCATGCTAGGACATCTCTCTCCTTGGTGCTCATTTCCCCAAAAGTGCTTCATTCAGCAGGTTGTCAGGTCTACGGACAGCTGGTGATTCATGGACCATTTTTAGCATACTTGCTTTTTAGCAGCCCCTGTTAGTAACCAGACTGGCAACTATGCAAGATATTTTATCTGGGAAAGTTTTGGAATTAAAGACTATGTTACATAAGCGAGACAGTGTTAGTCCTGCATTTGGCATCCTTAAAACATGTTACTACCCCACACACACACACTAAAACAGCATGTACAACAGGAAACAGGAAGGCAACATTTCACCAACAGGATTTTAGTTTGTAAATTAACCGTAACACCACATGGGAGAGACAAGACCTTCTTTCATATTTGAAAAAAATAAAGGCTAGTCTCAGTTCTCCACACTTGACAGTGTCCAGTTCTGGGCACCACAATTTAAGGAGGATACTGATAAGCTGGAACGTGAATAGAGGAGGGTGACTAAGATAATAGATCTAAAGCGCTGTCACAAGGAAGATGGAACAAGCTTTGTTTTCTTCTGCTCCAGAAGGTAGGACCCAAATCAATGGCTTCAAGTTAAAAGAAAGGAGATTCCAACTAAACATGAGGAAGAACTTTCTGATGGCGAAGAGCTGTATGAAAATGGAATGGACTCCCTCAGAAAGTGACAGACTCTGCTTCCTGGGAGGTTTTTAAGCAGAGGTTGGATGGCTATTTGTCATGGATGAGATTCCTGCACTGCAGGGTGCTGGATTTTATTTATTTATTTAATTTTTAATTCATTTTTCTTTTTCATTCATTATAGACATCTCAAATTCTTAACATTTACTATATATTCCTCCCTCCCTCCTCTCCAAGACTTCCCCCAACTTGCGCTTCTGGTTTGTTTCTATTCTCACCCACTTTGCTATCTCTCAACAGAAAAAGTTATTAATAACATAACATCAAACATAAAAACATAAAAATAAAAGTAAATACACCATCCTATTTCACTATCTTCTAAACATTTTCTGATGCTGATAATGCGGATGTTTATTTAAATCCTGCCATCAAGTCTATTGATTTTCTTTGTTTCTGCAAATATAATATGAATGGTTCCCAATCTTTTTCAAAGTCTCTGTTGTCTTTTTTTCTTAGTCTGTCATTTTTGCCAGTTCTGCAGGGTGCTGGACTTAATGATCCTTGGGATCCCTTCCAACTAACTCTACAATTCTGTGAAGTACACAAAACAAGCAGATTTCTTGTTGCTTTCATTCAATTGGCAGATGGCGAAGAAAACTGGGACATGTTTCATTTCTACAAGATCTTTAAATCTGATATAGTTACGCACAACTGTCGGAAATCATAAATGAGCCGTTTGGGGGGCGGGGAAAGATGAAAAGACAAATAATGAGAATCTTCAAAGATGGACTACATACTTCTTTTTGTTACTCAATTCCTTGCTTTCGGTGTTTTATTTATTTATTAAACTGATATCCCACCTTTCCTCCAAAAGGAGCCCAGAGCAGCAAACAAGTGCTTTTAAAAAATCTTAAAAGCAAATCCAATACAGATGTAGACTAACATATCAGCAAGTTTGCCACCTGTGATGGGATTATGAGCTGCTTGTGCGTAAAATCGTATTCCCTCAGAGTTTGTTCAAGTCCACAAACCTCTGTCTGTGACTGAGCCCCTCTGACATGGCTCCTCTTAGTCACTAGAAGATTCCGACAGTGGTTGCTTTCGTAATCGCTTCCAACATAAAAGCTCCTTAACGGAAACACGTCTTCTGGACTCTCTGCGTGACAGTTTCCGGCGAGGAGTGGGTGTCGCTACAGGAGGTCCGGAAACCTCACCACTGTTTTCGCTGGAAGTATCTCTGAGCCATCCCCCCAGCTCCCTTTCCCTCAGTTCAGCTTGTCTCCCCCTGCTGGTTTCCTCTTCCGCTGCTGAGTCTCTTCCAACCTGTCTGAGCCCTTTCACCTCCCTCAGTTCAGCTTCTCTCCCTTGCTGGTTCCCTCTTCAGCTGCTGAATCTCTTCCAACCTGTCTGAGTCCTTTCACCTCCCTTCCTTCCGATGGCAGTTCCCTGACATCCACCTCCCCTCCAGGGCCCCCTTCACCCCCTCTCGCCCCCTCCTCTACGGGCGGTGAGGAGGCAAAACCCGGAATGAACTTCCTTCATCTTCCGATGTCTCGAACACTTCTCTCCACCTGTTGCGGTTCCTGGTCTCGAAGCACTCCTCCTCCTCCGAGTCCATCTCCCCTTCCCCTTCCGATTCTGGGAATCCTTCCAACTCCTCCTCCTCCTCAGTGGTCCCAAAGTATTCCCTCCGGAACCTCTCCACAGGCTGAGGTTTCCGCGGGAACCTTTGATGGAACATTTCTATCAATACCTCGTCATTGATATCTTTGGCCATTACCCACGTGTTTTCTGACTCCGGTTCTCCTTCCCACGCTACCAAATACTCCACCTGATTCCCCTTCCACCTGGCATCAAGGATTTCTGCCACATGACTGCTGCATTCTCTTTCTTCTATGACCGGTCCCCGGTGTCCATCCCTTCTCGTCCCCCCTCGTACGGTGACAGTAACGACCTGTGAAATACTGGGTGCAGTTTCATGTGGTTGGGTAACCGGAGCCTGAAAGCCACTGGGTTGACCTGTTGAATGACCTCAAAGGGACCCAACCTCCTGGGTCGTAATTTCTTACAACCTCCTTTGAGCGGCAGCCCTCGGGTTGACAGCCACACCCTATCTCCAACCCTTATGGTTTCACCTTCCCTTCGGTTCTTGTCTGCCTGCCTCTTGTATTCTTCCTTCGCCCTTTCTAAGTTGAGTTGGAGCTGACGGTGGATTGCTTCCATTTCTTCTACAAAATGCTCGGCTGCCGGTGCGCTCCATCTCTCCCCTTCTCCCCCTGGGAAAGCCCTGGGATGACACCCATAATTAGCCAAGAAGGGGCTCATCCCTGTGGACACATTCTCGGCATTGTTGTAGGCAAATTCCGCCAGCGCCAACTTTTCTACCCAGTCATTCTCTCTGTCATTGACATAACACCTCAGGTATTGCTGGAGGACACCGTTTGCTCTTTCCGCCTGCCCGTTGGTTTCAGGGTGCCGGGCAGTCGAAAAGTTGACCTCCACCTGCAGTAAGCTCATGAGCTTCCTCCAGAACCTGGAAGTAAATTGTTTTCCTCGGTCTGAGACCACCCTCAATGGCACCCCGTGCAACCTAAAAATGTGTTCTACAAATAACTTCGCTGTCTCTTCCGCCGTGACTGCATGCGAGCAAGCTACAAAGTGGCACATCTTTGTTAGTAGGTCTACCACCACCATGATGGCTGTTTTCCCTTTGGACTTCGGCAGATCAGTCATAAAATCTATCGACACTGCCTCCCAAGGTCGTTCTGGTGTTGGTAAGGGTTCTAATAGCCCCGCCGGCGCCCGCCTTTCCCCTTTGGCTCGCTGGCACTGCTCGCACCCTCTTACATACTCACGTACATCCTCCCTCACCTTAGGCCACCAAAATTCCCTGGTGACCAACCACATGGTTTTGTGTTGCCCAAAATGCCCCGCCGTGGGGCTGTCATGCAACTGCTTGAGTACCCTCCCCCTTAAGTCTCCTTCAGGGATATACAGTGCCCCTTTGTAATACAAAGCTCCATTTCTTTCCTCGAAACCCCTTGATTCCTCTCCCTCATCCCTAAGACCTCTGAGCTTATTCTGGGCGTATTCATCATTCTCTGTTTCTTCTACCAGTTCTCTTTGTCCCACCAATGCCGCCCCACACACCCAGCGGTCCTCTGGAATGACATGTCTCTCTTCGGGTGCTCCCTCCCCCTCCCAATATTCAGGTTTGCGTGAGAGAGCGTCCGCCCTAATGTTCTCTGGGCCTGGCACGTAACAAATCTCAAAGTTAAATTTGGAGAATTCCTGGGCCCATCTCACTTGCCGTTGGTTGAGCACTCGTGCCGTCCTCCAATACTCTAGGTTCTTGTGGTCAGTGCACACTTGCACCTTATGTTGTGCGCCAATTAGCAGGTGCCTCCATCTCCGGAACGCCTCATGAATGGCTAGTAGTTCTCGGTCATACACCGTGTAGTTCCTCTCGGATTTGTTCAGCTTTCGCGAAAATAAAGCACACGGTCTCCACTCTGACTCCTCCTTCCCTGGCTGGAGAAGCACCGCCCCAACCGCTCTGTCGGATGCGTCAGTGTCCACTCTCATCGGTTTTGTAAATCCACATGCAGGAGCTGTTGTTCCGAGGCGAAGGCCCTTTTAGTTCCTCAAATGCTTGCTCCGCCTCCTCCGTCCAAACGAACTTCTTCTTACTGCTGAGACAGTCCGTAATGGGCGCCGTCAGGTGGGCAAAGTTTGGGATGAACTTACGATAGAAGTTCCCAAACCCTAAAAACCTCTGCACATCCTTCCTTGTTTTGGGTGTTTTCCATTCCAGTACCGCCTGGACCTTGCCGGGATCCATGGCCAACCCCTTGTCAGACAGGCGATACCCCAGGAATTCCACCTCCTTGGTATGAAACTGACACTTCTCCAGTTTCACCCACAGCTGGTTGGCTTGCAGCCTGCTCAACACTTCTCTGACGTCTCTCACATGCTGCTCCTCATTCTCAGAATACACCAACACGTCGTCTAAGAAGGCCACACAATTCTTGTAAAGCAACGGCCCCAGGACGTGGTTCATAAACGATTGAAATGTTGCGGAGCCTGCTTGTAGACCGAAGGGCATAACTAAGTATTCAAATGCCCCTAAAGGGGTGAACATGGTGGTTTTCCATTCATCCCCCTTCCTTATTCGTATCAGGTTGTACGCCCCCTTAGATCCAGCTTGGTGAAAATCTTTCCCTTTCGCACCCTTGTCAAAATGTCGTCAATCCTGGGCATCGGGAAGGCCACTGGTTCTGACACTGCATTTAAGGCCCTGAAGTCACACACCAGTCTCGGCTTGTTCGTGTTTTTGTCCACAAAAACACTGGGCTGCCCCACCGCCCTGGACTCTCTGATGAACCCTCTCTTCAGGTTCTTGTCAATGAACTCTCTTAGCTCCTGCATCTCTCTGTCTGACATGGCGTACAGCTTGCCCACAGGGAGCTGTGCCCCAGGGAGCAAATTGATTTGACAGTCAAAGGCTCTATGCGGTGGTAGTTGGTCAGCTTCCCTTTCGCTGAAGACGTCGCGGAGATCTGCGTATTGTCGTGGTACCTTCACGTTCTCCTTCACTTCAGTCCCTGCTAGGGTGGCTTGGGCCCCTGCCAAAACCTTTCCCTCTTTGCAATGTTCTAAGCAATGTGCTGACCCAAAAGAAACCACTCTCTGATGCCAGCCCACCAGCGGATCATGTAACGCTAGCCAGCTCATCCCCAATATAATGGGAGCTCCTCCCAAGGTGGCCACATTAAAAGCTATCAGTTCAGTGTGCCTTGCCACCTTCATTATCATTGGGACGGTCTGCAAGCTGACTTCTCCTCCCAACAGCTCCCTGCCATCGATCGTGGTTACCTGCAGGGGGTTGCTTAAAGGGAGCGTCTGTATCTGGTGTTCAGCTGCAAACTCTTTGCTCATGAAATTGCAGGAGCTGCCTGAGTCCAACAGCGCCTTTATCTTTAGAGGGTGTCCGTTTGGGAGCTCTAGTGTCACTTCTATCACTAGGGCGGGTTTAGGAGGTTCTGGAGTGGGCACTTTCACTGCTCTTTGGCCTGGCTGCTGTGCCCCGACAATGGCAGCCAGGCGTTGGCTTTTAGTTGCTCCGGTATTTTTCCCTCTCTTCCCTCCACAGCTCCCACCATCCCTTGCCATTCCTTCCTCTGAGGGCAGACTCTGGCAAAGTGCCCTGGCTGTTGGCAGAGATAGCATTTCCGGGCGCCTTTTCCATCCTTCTTTCCCCCTCACTGGGCTTTGAAACTGCGCGCGCGCGCTGTTCCGATTTCCATCGGCTCTGCCGGCGGGACAGTTGGCTCTGGAATGTCTGGAATGCGGAACTCCTTCCAACGTTCCCCTTTCCCTTCCCGCCTCTCCAATGCTCTCGCCTCCTGGCGCGCTCCTATGGCCAGCGCTGATTTGGTCAGCTGGTCCATAGACTCCGCCCTGGGCGCCCGGGAAAGTTCATCTTTCACAGCCGAAGAAAGCCCTTCTTCAAAGAGCATTTGAATGGGTTCCGCCGATAAGTCCCACCCCAATCTGTGTATCAGCATGGTGAACTCAGTCCAGTACTCACGTACAGATCGGCTCCCCTGTTTGCAAGCCATTAACTGTCTGCGCACCACTCCCTTTTCAATATCGCTGGAAAACATCAGATCCATGGCGCGAAAGAACTTCATCGTGTCTTTTAAGACGTCACTATTCGCTGCCATCAGGGGTCTAACCCAGTCTCTCGCCCCCTTTTCAAGATGCCCAATCACAAAAGCCACTCGTGATTCCTCATCAGGAAATCATCAAACTGCAGATTGAGGGCATATTGCATTTCTGTCCGAAAGCTATGATAGTCTTTGGGCTCCCCCCCAAATTTTTGCACCAATCCTGGTACCTTTCTGGCGAGCTGGGTGGCTTTCTCCCTTTTGTCTGCATCTTGAGCCCTCCTCTCCTCCAGCCTCGCCGTCTGCAGCGCCAGCTGGACCTCTAACACCCGGTACCTTTCTTCCAGGCTTGGACCCGCTCCAGCCCCTGCTTCTCCGGTTCCTGCTGGGTTGCTCATTATTATGCCGTCTCCTGCACAAGCTGCGTTCAAAGACTGTCGGAATGCTGTGATGGGATTATGAGCTGCTTGTGCGTAAAATCGTATTCCCTCAGAGTTTGTTCAAGTCCACAAACCTCTGTCTGTGACTGAGCCCCTCTGACATGGCTCCTCTTAGTCACTAGAAGATTCCGACAGTGGTTGCTTTCGTAATCGCTTCCAACATAAAAGCTCCTTAACGGAAACACGTCTTCTGGACTCTCTGCGTGACAGTTTCCGGCGAGGAGTGGGTGTCGCTACAGGAGGTCCGGAAACCTCACCACTGTTTTCGCTGGAAGTATCTCTGAGCCATCCCCCCAGCTCCCTTTCCCTCAGTTCAGCTTGTCTCCCCCTGCTGGTTTCCTCTTCCGCTGCTGAGTCTCTTCCAACCTGTCTGAGCCCTTTCACCTCCCTCAGTTCAGCTTCTCTCCCCTTGCTGGTTCCCTCTTCAGCTGCTGAATCTCTTCCAACCTGTCTGAGTCCTTTCACCTCCCTTCCTTCCGATGGCAGTTCCCTGACACCACCACATTTTCAAATTTATCTCTACAACTATGGCTTGTTCCTGCCCTGCTTCCTAACACATTGTATTCAAGCTAGCATCCTCAACACTGTACTGAGAGCATTTGGCAAACAAGGAAAAACACCAACCTCCCTTAATAACCTGTTTCCCCAAGGCTAACAAATCTGGAGTAACACACTGATAAGCAAGAGAGAAGAGCAAGAATTGACACTAACTCTGAACCTGCTCTGTGAATTTTTTTACTTCAATGTAATACGGTCTTATGCACACCTCTCTATGGAAATCTTTTCAAAAGGCTGTCTATGTCTGGAAAAGGACAGAGATACATATTACAAATGTTTGCTTGTAACTCATTATAATGGCTGTTTCCTACCACCAACACCCAAAAAAGGATCTCCATGGGGAAGTCATGCCTAGCAGAGAAATAGCAGGGGGGGGGGGGAGGGAGAGAGAGATACTAATCTTTTCTCCACTCACTTTTCTGCTCTGAATCACCCACCAATCTGGCCACCCTTCAAGCTAGGCTTCAAACATCTGCTTACTGCCCCCAAAACGCATTTGATATCCTGCAAGGGAAATGTGACTGGGAGCGGGTGACCTGGAGAAGACACACAGCAGGTAGGGAATGGGTTATACACCTCCTCTCTGCCCTCCTATTTCATCACACACACCCAAAGCTGATTTTTCAAAGATAAAGGGGCCATCAGGAGTAGAATCCAGTAACTCTTGAGTCTGGGTACCCTAAAACTCTACTTCAGAGAGAAGAAGAAGAAGAAGAAGAAGAAGAAGAAGAACAGGAGGAGGAGGAGGAGTTTGGATTTGATATCCCGCTTTATCACAAGGAGTCTCAAAGCGGCTAACATTCTCCTTTCCCTTCCTCCCCCACGACAAACGCTCTGTGAGGTGAGTGGGGCTGAGAGACTTCAAAGAAGTGTAACTAGTCCAAGGTCACTCAGCAGCTGCATGTGGAGGAGCAGGGAAGCGAACCCGGTTCCCCAGATTACGAGTCTATCGCTCGTAAGGAAACCAAGCTCAAGATTTCATTATCCCATGCTGGACAGCTCCAAGAGGAGTATACCTACCATGCACTGAGAATTCCCTACATTTTCTGGACACAGGATTCCGCAGGCTTAGCTGAAACAGTCTTTCTACATTAAGTACTGGTGAAACCCATAAGGTATGAAAAAGAAAACAATGTTGGAGATTGCTGGTGGGTCAAGTTTCACAGTTTAAGCAAATTAATGTATTACATAGTTGAGAAACAAAAAAATTCCTTCCAGTAGCACCTTAGAGGCCAACTAAGTTTGTTATTGGTATGAGCTTTGAAGAAGTATGCATGCACATGAAAGTTCATACCAATAACAAACTCAGTTGGGCTCTAAGGTGCTACTGGAAGGAATTTTTTCATTTTGTTTCGACTACGGCAGAACAACACGGCTACCTACCTATGGTTGAGAAACGTAATTCTCATCCTAATTACTAAGCGTGTAAAACTGACATTCCATGCACCACCACTGCAAAGAGAACATATTGCCAAGCAGTTATATGTCTCCTACATCACCTTCTCCTTCAAAAGATTCCCCAGCAGGTCAACAAACTGCTTGCAAATTCTACATTTTGTAAGAAATTTCATAGCTTGGTCCTAATGCACTAGTGGATCACAAGCCCAAGGTCAGAAGCCATTATGTGAGCATGGCAGAGACAGTAAATGGAGCTCCAGAGGCACAAATGCTTAGAATCTGAATGCAACAGTAAATGCCACCATGATTCAATTAAACATACCAAGAATGTGTTTGTGCTTTCCAACTCCTGGACTTCTTTACGGACTACTCAAAATTGAAAGTGAGCAAAAATAATGAGCATAAAATGGATTAACTGGCATACATAATTTAAAAAGAACTGCTGGTTTGACAGTTTAAGTAACAAAAACTTAAAACTCTGATTCTTTACTTCATCTTTTTGTCATTAGCTAAAAGCAACCAACAACCAACCATTTCCATGGATACATTTGCAGATGCCTCAAGACATGACTTAGAAAATTACTTTATTCAGCAAGTCAGCATTTCACGATCAGCTATGTCAGAGGTAAATGTGTTAATAGCTATTTGCATTTTTTTTGGAGTAAATAATCTTATAAGACTGCAGTCAGAGATTTGATGTCACCAGCTTACCATCCTCAATTTCAAGAAGCTGCTCCAAACACCAAAACAAAAATATCCAGATGTAATTTTTAAAAACAATAATAATAAATGTTCTGATGTACTCAACAGTCTGTTCAGACTGGAAGTAGTTGCAACAACACACACAGGAAACACACAGAACAGAAGGGTAAGTGCTGCGTGTGACACCTTTTCCATAACACGTAGGTATGGCAACACATAACAGGTGGTGGGAGAAACTCAACATGGGGTTGTCATTTTCAGCAGCGCACCAGTGAACAATGTCATATTTAGTCCCACCCCAATTTATGACTATTATACAGCAAGTCTTTGCACAAGACACAACCAGCATCTGTTCCTGAATGGCCTTGGCATGCATTTTGTTTCTGGAGCATACTAGGAAGTTTTTTGGGGTGTTTTTGCTCTTATGAGTTATCTAAGAGATAAGAGAAGGCAATTAACCCACCGAAGCACAATTAAATGCTGCTGTAAACTAATGAATCAAATCTCTTAAGGCAGTTTGCAAAGATATTGCACTGATAAGAATGAAAATATTCTCAGGTACCATTTAATAAAATCAAAATTAGTCAAAAATGGGATGCTATGGCACAAAAGTTAACGGCCACTATAACTCCTGAGAATTGAAGTGTCATCACATGTGTTCAAGTCAAAAAGCATCAGACCTACTTTTTACTCATTTTGACTACTGTTTTGGATGGATTTTTTGCACGGACAGTGATCATCCGAAAATAACTTTGAGAAAACATGCATTATAAAAGCATTTGCATAGTTTAATTTGAATATGTATGCAGAGTTTGTGTTGTTGTATCTTTAACTTTGATTTAAATACATGTTGATATAAATAAATATAAAGTCAGAAATGCTTGTTAACTATTTTTCTGCTTTGCAGTTTCTTTAGCTTGCATAGTGTGATCTGCCAGGAACACAATTTCCTTCTGGAAAGGCGACATATAAACTGAAGCCTAATCTAACCTGTAAATTAGAAGACAAATAGCAGGGGATTTTTAAGCCTAGAGAAAAGGTATAGGGTGCATATTGCCAATTAAAAAAAAAAGTTAAAACAATGTTAAAAAGAAAGACAGCACAAGCAGCTTAAATCAGAGGAAGTTGAGTTTAGCTGAACTTTTGTTAACAAACTTCTGAACCATATGAACAAGTGAACAAACTGCGTAAAATCAGAACTGGGCAAACACCCGTTGCCCAACCCACATTTGTTAAAATAATGGGGATACCGGGAACAGAGGGGGGATCAGTGGGTGAAATGTGCCTTTTCCCCCCCAGCCACTAGTTCTCACCTGCAAATGTTCCCCAAACTGTCCCCCACACACTCAGTTTGGCTTAGTTCCTGTACGAGTTTAGCTGGGCAAATCACTCATTCTCATCCTAGGGAGGGTATACCACGGACCAGAAGGATAAGAATTGGCAGATAGTCTCCCTGCAAATCCCCCCACATCATCATCACTGAGGATGGTAATCCTCATGTTTCCCATATAACATTCACCTCGACACTAAGCTGGGAAATGGTGACCATGTTCAACCTTGACTGTCGCAGTATGCCTCTGAATACCAGTTTGGGGAACCCCAAGTAGGTAGAATACTCAAGTCATGCTTTTGTGCTATCCATAGGCATCTGGTTGAGCCACTTTGAGTACAGGATGCAGGATGAGATGGGTCACCGGGCTGATCCAACAGGGCTCTGATTACAGTGGTACCTCGGGTTACATATGCTTCAGGTTACATATGCTTCAAGTTACAGACTCCGCTAACCCAGAAATAGTACCTCAGGTTAAGAACTTTGCTTCAGGCTGAGAACAGAAATCATGCTCTGGTGGTGGGGCGGCAGCGGGAGGCGCCATTAGCTAAAGTGGTGCCTCAGGTTAAGAACAGTTTCAGGTGAAGAATGGACCTCCGGAACGAATTACCGTATTTTTCGCTCTATAAGACACACCAGAACACAAGACGCACCTAGTTTTTGGAGGAGGACAGCAAGAAAAAAATTATTCTGAATCTCAGAAGCCAGAACAGCAAGAGGGATCACTGTGCAGTGAAAGCAGCAATCCCTCTTGCTGTTCTGGCTTCTGGGATAGCTGCGCAGCCTGCATTCGCTCCATAAGACGCACACACATTTCCCCTTACTTTTTAGGAGGGAAAAAGTGAGTCTTATAGAGCAAAAAATACGGTAAGTACTTAACAGACCTCCGGAACGAATTAAGTACCGTAACCAGAGGTATCACTGTATATCCTTATGGTGGGATTTCCTCCCTTACAGCTTTTCAGAAAGGGGAACAGAAGATGCCAGTCATCTAAAGTTTCTTAAGGCCAAGTCACACAGTTATGGCTAGCAATCCAGTATGTGTGCTGGAGTAGCAGATGCATGCAGTCCTCACTGTACATATATGATGGGTGTCATGCACATATATGTCTTTACATACATTGACCTGAACGTTAATTTCAAGTTGGTAAGAGCAACATTCTGAAGACATCTGAAGACAGATGTTTAGTTACTCTAAACATAAGGGGGTGGATTCACCAGCTACAACATTTCCCCAATAGGTCTGCTGCTTCCTGTCAAGTCTCATGCTTAGCTATGTGCCAACCAGGAGATCAAACTGGAAGAAAGAAGAGAATGCACATGCGTATTCCCAGACGCCCCCAACCCTGGATGGAAGGGCAGGATAAAAACCTAACAAATAATAATATTAACTCTCACAGACAAAGCAGTCCCCTAAACCCACACTCCATCGGGGGACCTGCTACACAGTTTAAGGATCTGTGATTTTATGATTGGCTGCCAACATCTGAATAATATAGAGTACGTACTGTCACATGCATAGACAGACGTCCCTGAGGTATACAGACTGATGGGAAAGCCAAAAATGGTACCCTGGTTACTCGAGTCAATCTGCGTTTTTATTGGAAGACCCTTCCATGCTTCCATCTCGAACTCTCTAGTTCTGGCAGTGACTTCTGTTTTGCATCAGCTTCTTTTCTTGCTCAGTAACTATGCTCTTCCCTACCCTCAAAGACATGGAACTGAAAGCCTGTAACATCTCAGTGTTAGAAAGGCTTACCCTTCTCATTCAGGCACCAGTTATCAGTCTTCTGTTCAGTATTAACAAAGGCATGTGTGAGCCATCAGCTTCCATTAACCATGGCAAATATAACTGAAGACAGGAAGCTAGAAATAATTTCTGCGGCCACGGCAGCAGGAAATTGACACGTTATATTTCCTGGATTCTTATTTACCCACAGATTACATTTCTATAGCACAGGGAAAGATGTCATACGTATGCATGAGAGCTCTCTCTATTTCCAAAATACAATAGAATAGTCTCAGTTTGCCAGACAACACATGGGTAGATAAGAGAGGTTGGTGATAAAGCAGCCAGATCACTGGGAACCAGCAGCTGTGCAGCTGAGAAGCTTCCGCTCACAAGAATAGCATGACTTAATGCGCAAATGATCAACACTCCATCCACAATCCAACATTTCATTGGAGAAGCAGAGAACCAAACAAAGTTGAGAAGCTGCCTACAATAGTTTTGTACATATTTTCTTGTCCAACTGATTTCCAAACTGGCCCAGTTTTGAAAGGATGGGAAGTTACAGAGCTTAATGTGGTAATGCAATTTAGTTGCAAATGAAAATGCCACACTATAGAGAAGTGCAGAATAAGTCCCCCACCGCCTCCCAGAAGCCCACAAAGGTTTTCCCATTAAGGGCAAATTAATTTAGCTATGGCTTCAGTTTACTGAATTAAAGCATATCCTGTTGATGCAAATTTAAGAGCAACACCTTCACTTCCCACCCTGCTTCTTCCTCAATTTTATTCTCCCTTTTCAGTAGGCACAGAATAAATTAAAATGTGCTATAACCATTTGTTAATTGAACTGGCTTTATGAGAGTCTGTAAAAGAAATGAATCATGCATCACTAGCAATATTCAGTTGCACTCAAATATTCTGCTTGTCAGCACTGGCCTCCAATTGGAGGCCTGTGACCCACAAATGAGCACAGTCTAACCCAGGGGTAGCTGATGTGGTGCCTTTGAGATACTACAACTCTCACCATCCTGAACTACTGGCCAAACTGGTTTGGGCTGATGAGAAATATAGCCCAACACTTTCTGGAGGGCTCCACATTGGCTACTTCCCTAACCTTTACATTTGTGAGGCTTTCTGTTTTGTTTCTCTTTTAAAGAAAAGGGAACAGAAAGAGACATGTATTCAGAAATCATTTAAAAGTAGCTCCTAGGTCCAACATTGGGCTTAAAGGCGGATGCCAAGTTTTACATGATTGAAAATGCATAAATACAACCATTAGCTCCTTTCTGATTCTCATCCCAAACCAGAGCTTAATTTCTTTAATGCTATATATTTGCCAAGCTCATCAGTAGATGACCAATCTAGTTCTATCTTACATTGCTTTGCTTCAGTGACCAACTGCTGTGTCATAAATGAAAGGCAACCTCACCTTTTCAGAGTCCAAGGAGAAAATTAAAGCAATAAAACAGCTTGAACAGATAAGGCAGATTTCATCTCACACTAGTTCAAAATGATGTACTGACTTTGTCTTTTACCCTTGAATACACATTATACTACAGAGCTCGCAGCCTGAGACACAGCACAAAATGCAGAGACCTACAGCAAAAGCTAGCAGTACACATTAACTGCAAACTGATACTTCGGTGGATAAAATGCAAGCAAGATGTGAAAGCTTCTAAAGTCCCTTCTGTGTCACAGCGCCAGCAACTGGCATGGATGGCTTTCACCTCTTCCTCAGGGGGAAAACTGGCTCCAGCAACATAACATGCTCCAGTAATATGTCAAATGAATTGTTCCACCATGTCTACGACTGCAAGGTATTGATAAAGCACAGAAGAGACAACTAAGTGTTGCTCTGACTCACGGCCCTTGCTCATTTCATCCAGCAACATTTAAAGGCACTATCTGGGGGGGTAGGCTAAAATATTTGGTGGCCACCAGTCAAAACCAGTCAAGGGAGAACGCAAATTCAACTCTCAAACTCATTTCATGGATGCAGTTAATGCATCACGTCATAAAAACTCCAATGTGCAATGATTCTGTGGAATCATCTATTAGGGAGACAGGACCTCTTGATTCTCTCCCACCCAGGTCACTTGCCATTATCAATCACAGTGAATACACAGCAATCCTAAATATAAGACCATTATTTATATAATCTGTGAGCTTTTTAATCTTTAATTATCTTGGAACTGCATGAGAAGGGAGCTTGAGCACGTACCTATGATAATAGCTTTCCCTTGGCACAGAGTATATGTACGTCAGTGAAGGGATGAGGAGTTCCCCCAGCCTACCTTGGATGAAAGAGGTTCCCAAGAATAAACCACCAGCTCTCCCCTGCAGGAACTACCGCTTTTTCAACCCCATTCTCCACATTATGTCGAAGAGCACATGCACACAGAGACACACATCTGCAATAGAGCCCTGGAGGAGCCCTGCCTCACTTTCTTTTGCCCCCCTCGTAGTTTCTTCCCAATGACTTGAGGCCTTTTTCTTGGCAATCTGTCTATCAGCATTAACAGGGCTGTCCTCATCACCAGGCAGACTCTGGGGGGGGGGGGGGCGCGTAGAGAGGATGTTATGTCATGCAGGAAGAAACAGAAGCTTCCGACCCCAACACTTTCTCTTTCACAAACACCCAACGGCCCTATACATGATCTGCCCACAGCCACCTAATTCCAGCCCTTTTCCTCTGTCATCCCCACCCCGACCAGCAGCCCTCTCTCTGCCCTTCAACTGCACCGGCCTCCTCAGCGCAAAGGCGACCCCCCAATTCCCCTCCCCATCTCCCCTTCCTCCTCTCTTGCCAGCCCTTCCCAAACCCACCTCATCCCTTCTTCTCCCCTCCCCACTTCCCTGGATGAACGACCCCCATTCCCCACCCCACCTCCTTGCACTCCTCTGACCCACCACAATCTGACTACATCCCACCCCCCCAAAAAACACACACCCATCTTCTTCTCCCTCTCCCCCCCCCACCTCTGGGGTGGGCCTCAATTTTTCCCCTGATTCCCCTCTCTTTCACTCACCCCCTCCCCATTTCACCCCCTCCTCATCCCCCCACCCTCCATGATTCCCCTCAATTCCTCCTCGCCCCCCCACCCTCAACGACCCCTCCCAATTCCTCCTCATTGCCCCCCACCCTCAAACACAACCCTCCATGACTCCTCACCTTCCATTCCTCCTTACCCCACCCACCCTCAGTCACCCCTTGCCCCCCACCCTCAACGACCCCTCCCAATTCCTCCTCATCCCCCCCACCCTCCATTTCCCCACACGCTCCCCTCCCCACAGCTCCCCCCCCCAATGCGCCTCAGAGAGAGACCCCGAGCCGCCGCCCCCCCGCAATGGCTTCTCCCTCCTCCCTCGCGCCTCCCGGCCTCCCTCCTCCTCCTCCTCCGACCGTGAGGCGCTGACAGAAAATCCGCCGCTTCCCTCCTCCTCCTCCCCCGCCTGGGCCGCCGCCGCCGCCGCCGCTGCGCCCTCCTCACCTGCCGGATCCTCCGCCTCCTCCGTCGGCGTCTCCCGGCGGGCTGGGCTCGGGGGGGGGGGTCGGATCCTGCGCAGCTTCCTTCCTCGGGGGGAGAAGGGGGCCGGCGGCGGCAGCAGCACCGAGCAGAGAGAGAGAGAGCGAGGCGGCCGGCGAGAGGGAGCAGAACGACGACGACGCCGACCCGAGCCAGCAGCGTGCGCGCTCGCGGAGGAGGAGGAGGAGGAGGAGGAGGAGGCTCGGGCACGCGCCGGGCTGCTCCGGAGGCTCCGCGCGCGGGGCTCGCTCCCGTACGCCTGGCTCCGTGCGTGCGTGCGCGCTCCCCTCCCTCGCGCAGGAGAAGACAGTCTGGCGCAGGCCAGGCGCGGGGAAAGGGAGCGCGCCTGCCTGCCTGCCTGTCAATCCGTCCGCGTCCCTTTCTCCGGCAGCAGGGGCCTGTCTGGATCTCCGGGAGAGAAAAAAAGAGGAGGGGAAGGGAGGGCATGCAGCAAAAATTGGAAAGAGGAAGGATTTGGGAATCGTAAAACTTGTGGAGCTAGGAAAGGGGGCTGGATGATCCGCACCCCGAGGGTCGTCTGGTCTAACCCTCCCTGCAATGCAGGAATCTCCAGGAGGAGGAGGAGGGGTCGTGCGCTTTGCAAATAAATCAATGAAGCGGGGACGCCGTGCATGATGATGATGATGATAATAATAATACAACCGTCGGTTTTAATTTTCTTGCAAATCCTAAACCATCCGCAATCCCAAGGAAAGGTGAGGCGTCAGTCCCGGAGACCCTCTGACTTGGGTGTCATATTGCACACATACTCAATGGGATGGTTTTTGTTTTTTACTTCTGAGTAGACGTCAGGTGTAAGCTTAGGGAAAGTTGCAGGCACAAATCAGAGGGGTGGGCGTGTTCGCGTTCAGGTGCGGGGTACCCGAGCGCGCGCAAATTGCAATAATAATTTAATAATTGCAATAATAATAATCTAACTATTGCAAGGAGGCGCTTCTCTGGAGGAGGCCGGTGGAGGCAACGTCTCGGCGCGCCCCGTGCAATGTGCGGGGTGCGTAGTAGCCCCACTTCTCCTTGCAAATCTTTGCCCCGAAGTATCTCCTTGAAGCGCTCATCCTCGATCGAGGGACACCCCCGTGCACCCCGCTTCTTCTGAGCCTTGCTAGGCGTGTTTACTCGGGAGCAAGGTCCACCGAGTCCGGCGGGGCTTGCTCGGGAGCAACGAGGCGCAGGATCGCAGCCTGGCGCTGCAGAGGCGCGCGGGGCGGGCTTCCCCTTTGCAAAGCGCGCTCGCCGGCCTCGTTCATGGCGGCGGCGGCGGCAATCCTCTTAAGCGTGCGCGCGGCCGCGGAGCGAGCTTGAAGGGTGCAGCCGGCGGCATCGGCGGCCTCCCTTGGAAAGAGCAGGGCGCGTGCATCGAGCGGATGGTGCACGCTTCCAAATGCAAAAAAAGAAGAAGCAAAAGCTTGCAAAGCATTGCATTCAGGGAATGAAAAGCAGCCAGGGCAGAAGCAAATGCTAAAATCAAAGCGAGCTCCCCGCCCTTTGTAAAGGTACCTGGATTTAAGAATTATTTTTTTTATTTAAAAAACGTCATTCCCTGACCGGGAATCGAACCCGGGCCGCGGCGGTGAGAGCGCCGAATCCTAACCACTAGACCACCAGGGAAGGCTGAAAGAAAAGTTGGCTGACATGCTTATGTTTGTGAAATGACGTCAGTTCCCCCCTTCCTCTAGTTGAGTGCATTAAGTCTTAATTGCAGTTAGAATGAGGTCTTATCTCTACACCAACTTCCAGACAAAGCAACTGCAAGAAATGGCACAGAGATGGGGAGTGGAGAGAGAGAGGTATTTAGCTACATAATAATAAATTATTAAATTAAAATTTGGAATAACGAGATGTGATGGTTCAACACTGCCTGGAAATGAAAAGTAAATATGGACTGTGCACTCTGCTTCAAGTAAAAATATTGCAACTGCATGACCTCTGGAATGCGTGGATTCATCTGCCTCGTGGCCACTGGGACGCACTCAGTGAGCACCACCAAATAATTAAACAGATACATTATAGTCAAAAGCAGTAAAGGGACAAACCTGCTGCAATAAACAAGAACAGCTAGCACATTTGTCAAAGCTAAGCAGGGTCCAATGTGGTTTCAAATTGGATGGGAGACCACTGTTAAGATTCTTGCTTTGCAGGGGGGCGTTGTTGATTAAATGACTCCCTTCCATATCAACAATTCTATGATTCTAGTCAATTGCCCTTCCAGCATGGATCCGGAGAGGTGCCATTGTTAGACTAGGCTAATCAAAATAGTAGCAGTGTTTAGCATTTGCCTTTCTCATTCTTTTTTATTAGGATTAGTGGTCCAACCATTACAAATATATTTGTAATCTTGACAACAGCCTTGTAAGGTAGGCTGCATGGTGCACTGTACAACACAATGCCACTGAGAAAACAATGCTGTCGAGGGTTGTAAAGACTGCAGAGAGGATAATTGGGTGCACTCTTCTCACCTTGGATCAAATCTATGCTTCCAGGTGCCATAAAAAAGCTGCAGAGATAGCGCAGGATAGTGCACACCTCAGAAATGCTCTCTTTCAGCTTCTGCCTTCTTGAAGAAGGTACAGGGTTATAAAGACTAGGACTAGCCGCCTGAGAAACAGTTTCTATCCAAATACGATTTTAGTTTTAAACGCAGTGTAAGGTAGTCTCTATGGGGGTATACTGTATTTAATTATGGGGCATCAGAGTTTTTAGGGGCCTAACCAGGCAAGGATGGCTGGGATAGCAGGCTTGTTGGTTTTTGAATGTCTGGTGTATATATTTTTTTCAATTTCGTTGTTCTATATGGGACAATGACAATAAAGATTATCATATCTGAAATATACTCGGAGTCAAGAGTGGATTTCATGCTCTTTATTCAGCTCATAGTGGTGAGGAGGAATGAAAATTCCCCCAAAGTATCTGCTTTATATACATTATTTACACAAAGTGTTGCATGTGATTGGCTAATTCCGGGATTCTCCTGTAGGCCAATCAGGTTGTGGATTCACTTCCATCTGGAGCTGGATTGGGTGGCCCTGTGGACCAATCATACTGCTGCATTGTTCTAGGACCAATCAGACTGCTGCATTTTGGATCCTATTGTTCAGTACATAACAGTATCATATCATATCATATCGTCATTGCATGAAAATCAGTGGCACTTCTAAGCATACTTAGAAATCCCCTTTTGAGCTCAATAGGACTTCTGAGTGCTTACGATTGTGCTGTGAGTTTCCTGTTCTCACAGTGGCCAACCGGGTGCCTGTGGAAAACCCACAAGGAAGACCCAAGTGCAAGAGGCCTCTTTCCTGCTGTGGCTGCCACAACTGGTATTCAGAAGCGTTGCCTCTCCTCTACGAATTTATCTACCATATTTTCCAGCGTATAAGATGACTCCCCCAGCTTTTCCAGTTAAAATATAGAGTTTGGGATATATAAGCCGTATAAGACTGGGTTTGTTCTTTCTGGAATAGCTACCTGTCTGGCACTCAGGTATCAGGATGCCAGGGATTATCACTCAGGCCGTATAACGCACACCAAATAAAATTTTTAAAAAACTAGTCTCCAGTCCGGCTCGGAAATCTGCTCCACTTCCCAGTGGCCAGGGGCTTCTGGGGCCAATTTTCAAGCGTATTTCTGCTTCATCTAGAGAGCTTGGTGTCCTCTGATTTAATTTGCTGTCGTTTTATCCTTTGGTGGGGAGTTGCTGCAGGAGCTGCTGCTGCAGCCGGCATATAAGACGACCCCTGACTTTTGAGAAGATTTTCCTGGGTTAAAAAATAGTCTTATATGCCAGAAAATACAGTAATTCTCTTGTAAAGCAATCCAAGCTGGTGGCTACACTGCCTCTGGTGGGAGTGACTTCCATAGCGTTGCAGGAATTTATGTATAGGTTGGGGGGGTTGCCCCTCCAGCAGATATCATGCACATGTAGCCCACTACCAAAATCAGCACAAACACTTTTGTGACTTTTGTGGTTTGTCCCCACAAAACACTTCATCACAGTTTCTTCCTATCTATTCAAAGGGCCTTTGCTGCACGATACCAAATGTAAGAATTCACTGATAAATGTATCTATGTACTGGCTCACTGGAAAACTTAAGAACTTCATATAGACATGTGAGCTCAGCTACTCAGCAGCCCCTCTGCCTGAGTGATAATCCCTGGCATCCTGATACCTGAGTGCCAGACAGGTAGCTATTCCAGAAGGAACAAGGAAACAGGGAAATGTAAATATCTTTTTTTGTTACGCTTGATGGGTGTTTGGTGGAGGGCAAGGAGAACCATGGGGCAGGGTTCAGGATGCTCAGATTACTGCCACCAGACCTCCCCTTTCATGATGTAACCATGATGTATTAGAGATGTAGTTTGGGGGTGTAACATGGGGATTAGCAGCTAATAAAGGTTTGGGTTCTCTTTTGTTCGGGGCTTCCATCTTATTCCACCTTGTGGCAGGTGGGAGTCCTGTCGCAACAGACTTCAATAAAGACCAAGCCTACTGGCTGCTGTTTTGCTCTGGTATTCCTGGCTGGTGTCCTTGTTTTTTGTCCAAGGGAGTCCTCAGATTTCTCCGTTAACAATAGTTTACCTTTGCACTATGCAAATAAGTATTTTTGTTTATTTGTTCTGAATCTTCCAGCACCCAGCTTCAATGGATGTCCCCAGTGCCAGATTTATGTATAGGCTAAGTAGGCTGAGGCTCCAATACTTTGAAGCTGAGGCTCCAAGACTTTTGCCACCTCATGAGAAGAGAAGACTCCCTGGAAAAGACCCTGATGTTGGGAAAGATGGAGCGCACAAGGAGAAGGGGACAACAGAGGACGAGATGGTTGGACAGTGTTCTCGAAGCTACTAACATGAGTCTGACTAAACTGCGGGAGGCAGTGGAAGACAGGAGTGCCTGGCGTGCTCTGGTCCAGGGGGTCACGAAGAGTCGGACACGACTAAACAACAACAACAAGTAGGCTGAAGCCTAGGGCCTTAGATGCACTTTCTTTAAAAGATAAGTTTAGGATAAAATCCTTTATTCCTATATTTCTATATTAGATGCACTTGAAGCCAATTTAAAAAGAAGTACTGTGTACAGGGATGCTGCACAATTGCTTTCCATTCTTGCTATTCTTAAAGCATCTAAACAAGAAATTCAGCAAGGTGTTGAACTGTTGATGGAAGCATACCCAGAAGATATGGACCTGAAACTTATTTAACTTTGCACTTTCACCTGTACGTGAGACAAAGCCATAGGCTTACAGCAGAGCACTCTCTGTCTCATACAGACCTTTATCAATTTTATATACAAGGAAAAATATCAGGTGGCCTTTCCTAATGTGGAAGCAATCTTGCGGCTATTTCTTAGCTTTATGGTCACTAACTGCTCGGGAGAGAGTTTTTCAAGACTCAAAAGAATTAAAAATGAATTACGGGCCACGATGTCTCAAGAGAGGTTGTACACACTGAGCATTCTGCACATCGAAAATGACAAACTTAGACAAACCAGTTTTTATGAAGTTTTCTGATGTCCTTTAGAGGAGAAATTGTGAATTGCAGAATTTTAAATACCCGTCATCATCCTTGGCTTCAATAATTTTTTTTTATAACATTTTCATTTTCTTCTAGTCGTGAGGGTGGGGGATGGGGGGGGGCCTCACAGGTGGAGTAGCCTAGGGTCTCTCTTCATCTAAATTATAGTGTTATGGGGGCTGGGAGCTTTTCTCTTTCTGATCTCTCCTGCACACTTTTTTCGAAAAGTACTGCTTTCTCTTATGAACATAAGGCCAACCAATTTTGTTATGACAGCAAATTAGTTTGGCCTCTTTTTGGAAGCTCCCAATTTTCTTTCAATTAGCAGTTCAGGTTCTGATGTCATTAGCCTTCAAAAAATATCGTAAGAGCATTGCAAGAAGAACTCGAGATTTAAGGGGCACTATTTACATTCCTTTGCCCTAGGGCCAACTTTTCATGCAGGCAGCTGCAGTCATGCGCTGCAGCTGTCAGAGGCATGGTCCATGCGCCACTTTCAAACTCTAAATTCAGAATTAGTTGCAGATTTCTTTTGAGCTAATTATGCTCCTCCCAAGATGTCCAGGAATTGGGATCTTATCTAGTAAAGAAGAGGCGACAGGATGTTATGGAATGCAAAATCTCCGCCGCACAAAAAGCCATAAGGATGACACCTCTCCGGGCTGCGTGTCTCCTTCCCTCCCACCCATTGCTTAATGAGAGCATCTCTTGCTGAGCTACTTTATCATATGAAACAGTCCTGCTGGAAGAGATCAAAGCCTTGTCTCGTCTGGCACGCCATCTCCAAATGCAGTCGTGCAGAGGGACCCAGGCAATTACAAACAGGGCATGAGGAGGCTGGCTGCCTTTCATGTGTCCACAGATCTATACTGTCTCTGCACATCGGATGTAGTCAGCATGGCAGCCTCTAGCTGCTCTTGAGTGACAGCTGTGAGCATCCTTGAGCCATTGGCTATGCCGGCTGAGGCCCGACGCAATCAGAGTCCAGCAACATCTGAAGGGCACCACATTATTTATTATTTTATGTATTAAAATTATATCTCACCCTTTCTCCCAATGGAGCCCAAGGCATCAACTCCAAATAAGCCACAAGGTAGAACATCTGTAAGAAATATTTGTGGCTATATATTTTCCTTGTCTAAAACAACCAGACTTTTAGAACCAGACTTAAACCAGACTTTTAGAAGACATCTGAAGGCAGCCCTCTTTAGGGAAGCTTTTAATGCTTAACAGACCACTGTATTTTAATACTCTGTTGGAAGCCGCCCAGAGTGGCTGGGGAAACCCAGCCAGATGGGCGGGGTATAAATAATAAATTCTATTCTATTCTAAAACATACTTGAGACAGATACCTTAACCAATCAAACTGCTTTCATTACCCTCGGCCCTTAAGACAATTATGCCTCAGATTTGTTCTCATTTGTAAAAATGAGTTTTGAATGGAAGGAAGTCAGATTAGCCTCAACCAAAGCCAGGGCCTTTTCAACACTGGCCCCGACCTGGTGGAAAAGAAGAAGAAGAGGAGTTTGGATTTGATATCCCGCTCTATCACTACCCGAAGGAGTCTCAAAGCAGCTAACATTCTCCTTTCCCTTCCTCCCCCACAACAAACACTCTGTGAGGTGAGTGGGGCTGAGAGACTTCAGATAAGTGTGACTGACCCAAGGTCACCCAGCAGCTGCATGTGGAGGAGCGGAGACGCGAACCCAGTTCCCCAGATTACGAGACTGCCGCTCTTAACCACTACACCACGCTGGAACGCTCTGTCTCATGAGACCAGGGACCTGCAGGGTCTGATTTCTTTCCGCAGGGCCTGTAAGACAGAGTTGTTCTGCCTGGCCTTTGGCTTGGAATTAACTTGATCCCCTCCCCCTCTTTCTTTTTCCTTTTTCCTTCTGTGATGGAACTCCTATTTGAGGACTTCCCTGGCTTTTTTCTGACCCACATAGGACCAGTCTGGATAGCTAGCCTTGGTGAAGACTTGATGTTTTCATCCCCAAAAAAGTTTTTGAGTTTCTGCTGTATTTCAATCAATTGTTTTATATCTGGTATTTGCCACCCTGAGCCCGGTCTTGGCTGGGGAGGGCAGGGTATAAAAAATTATTATTATTATTATTATTATTATTATTATTATTACTGTGGCTTGCCATTGTTTTATTGATTATAGTTTAGAAATTATTTATTGTAACTGCTGAGTGGATTTCTGTTTAACTTTTTAATGCTGATATTATTATTATTTTATACTATCCTAATGATTGTTGAATGTTACTTTTTTGATGTAGGTTGCTTATTTTAAAGTTTTGTTTTATTATCACATTTTTGTATTGCATTAGATTGTTATAAGATGTGCATTTTTTGTTTCTTCAGCTTGTAAACTGCCTTGAGTATTGTAAGATAGAAAGATGATATACAAATTAAAAATGATGGTGATGACACAACTAGACCAATTCTCCATCAGTTTGTCCAACCACGTTTAAAGTCATCTAACAGTGCAGTCCCAACCATGTGAGTCCTGTTTAATTCAGTAAACCTCGCATGTTTTCTTTTATGCACCCTGGATCAGTGTGGCAAGTTAGCTTTGCTGTGCGACCCAGAATTCTAATATACGGAGTGAACTCAAGGTCAGTGCCTAAATTTACAGGCAAAATCCTTCCCAAGCTTAAGACAGCTACTTCAAGTGTCTGCTTGTGACAGTATCTCAGGAGCCAAGGAAGCCAGTCAGACTGCTTTCCACGTTTCATGATGTTTTTAATTGTCTTGCATTCTGCATTGCATTGTCCCTTGAGCACCAGAGAGAGGAGGCAGAGGACGCAAACCTTTTTGCTGTTTTCTCTTTGTTGTCCAGGTGACTCATCTCAGCAAGTCCTGGTTCACTGTGCAGAAAGAGAATTCCAAACTGATCTCTTGTCTGTATAATAAGGCTGGTACACATTTCCAAAGGAAATTTTCTCATCTGAGGGAAATCCACACTGCAGTATCAACAAGGCACTTAACCATTCCCCAGCTGCTGTGAACAGGTGCTTTTACTGGACAAGTTCTAACAATCTGTACCCAACATGCCAGGGATTAAACCTCAAAAGCCTCTGCTGTTAAAAAGGCGAATTGCAAAATTAGCTTTCGCTGTCTGCTTTCCTTTCTGCAAATGCAAATGTTTCGAAACAGTTAAGAATGTAAAAGCCCTGGTGGATTAGGCTCAAGGACCACCTCGTGTACCATCCTATTCTCACAGTGGCCAGCAAGATACCCGTGAGAAACCCCTCAAGTAGAACCCAAGCGCAACAATGATTCCTGTGCCCTTTAAATACTCTGGCATCCAATTCATTGTTTTTGTAGCAGACTGGTTTCATGCCAAGTAGGCAGTCCATAGTTTTAGCACTTCAGGAGAGATCGTGGGTTAACATCCCCTCCTCCTTGAACCTCACTTCAATATACGTTGGATCTGCTTCTCATATTTTCAACTAACCACAGAATGTTATAGTATGGGAGAAAAGTTGCTAGTTTTAGCTATGGTTTTCCTGAGCAAACTTCAAACTGTTGTTTATTATGCTTGCTTGTTAAAACTAACCAGAGTTTGTCTATGTTCTGCTAACCACTAGGACGGATTACAGCAACAAGTTAAATTTAAGGCTGCCTCTGAAGATGGCTCAGAAGCTTCAGCCAGTGCAGAATTCAGCAGCAGCCAGGTTGCTCACCGGGGCAAGATGATTTGAGCATATTTCTTCTTCTTTTGAGCATATTACACCTATGCTGGCCCAACTGCACTGGCTAGCAATTAAATTTCAGGGCCCGATTCAAAGTGTTGGCATTGACCTAAAGGGTAAAGGGACCCCTGACCATTAGGTCCAGTTGTGGCCGACTCTGGGGTTGCAGCACTCATCTCGCCTTACTGGCCGAGGGAGCCGGTGTACAGCTTTATGTAATTGTGGCCAGCATGACTAAGCCGCTTCTGGCGAACCAGAGCAGCGCACGGAAACACCGTATAGCTTCCTGCTGGAGCGGTACCTATTTATCTACTTGCACTTTTGTGCTTTCGAACTGCTAGGTTGGCAGGAGCAGGGACCGAGCAACGGGAGCTCACCCTGTCGCGGGGATTTGAACCACCAACCTTCTGATCGGCAAGTCCTGGGCTCTGTGGTTTAACCCACAGGGTCACCAGCCTTAAACAGCTCAGGACAATACCTCAAGGACCGCCTCTCCCCATATGAACCGACCCAGACCCTGTGGTCATCATCCGAGGCCCTTCTTCATGTGCCACCTCCACGAGAGTGGGTGGCAACTCATCCAGTGGGTGGCAACAAGAGAACGGTCCTTTTCTGCAGTTGCTAATTTGTATGCCTGGCACCTTTGTTACGTATCTTTAGACACCAGACAAAAACATTCCTCTTCTCCCAGACACTTGGCTAGTTAAAAAATCTACGGCCTTTTAAACTGTACGAGTGGGGGCAGGTTTTGTTCTTGTATTATGGTATGCATTTTTGTGTTTTTATATTGTAAACCAGCCTGTGATCTTTGGGTGAAGCGTGGTATAGAAATTCAATGCATAAAAGTTATCCTCAGCTGGCGGATTGTATTACACAAATATCTTCATCTTTGAAGTGTGGGGGGGGCAGCAGGATAAATAGGAGAGGCAGTATACACAGGTGAGTCAGAAAGCTATAAAATGCAGAAGGGACAGATGGTTTGCAACAGGCCTTCTGTGCAAACATCAGGTGTAAATATGGTTGTCGTTTCTCATTGCTACAGCATTGTTCTGATCGTCCAACATGAAATGGTCAAATGCATGTAAGTGGCCTCTAGCTAATACTGTTTAAAGACTAAGAGATTTGACTGTTTTTCCCTTAGAGAATATGCTTGTGTGCTCATCTCCCCACTGGTTCCCAACAGCGTTGTACAGGGACTGGGAACCTGTGGCCCACGGGGGTCATTTTACTGGCCCCCAAGCCACCCCTGAACCAAGCCACTCACTTGGCGAGTCCCCATGCACTGTGCTAAACCAGCACAGTGCAGGACGGGGACTCGTTTCCGCGGTGCCAGAAATTGCGCCTGTGCATGCGCAGATGCCGGAAATCGCATGTGCGCAGACACCGAAAATTGCGGTCACATGCACTCATGCGCACCTGTGATCTGGCCCGGGGAGGGGGCTCCGTGGCAGTAAACCGGCCCAGGCAAGGTAAGCCTTGCTGACCCCTGACATTGTATATGGCCACAGAGACTTGTGAAACCACTTCCTCTCCCCGCCTCCCCCCGCTCACTTTCCAAAGCCTTTCCCAAACCATCTGAATCACCCCTTCATTGTCGGACGACTCTCCTCTAGCCCACCTCCACTCATCAGCCAACCCCTGACCGCCTTCATATTTCATCTGCTGCAGACAAAGCCTCCCTCACCCTGGGCTGCCATCAGTTCAGTTCAGCACCGCTGGCACAAATAAGTTGCAGTGAACAAGGGCAATCACATTGGGAGCAACCTACCGTGTCATCCATTTAGAAATGTCTGAACTCCATTTCTGTAATGCAAGGAGGGTCGCCCTAAAGCCAAGGTCAAAACCACAGGGCGCTTGGGCAGGTTCGCACCTGGTACACAAGCCCAAAGATGAAGACAGCCGTTTTGCTTTTCAAAAAAGAATATTTTATTGACAAAGTTCCCCCCGTAGTCACCTGTACAGGAGAAACACTTCAGTCTGTCTTCTAACAGCTCCCCGGTCCCAGTGGCACCGCTTTCCCCACCCAACACGGGTGCCTACTTTACCCTTGAACAAACTCCAGCAAATGATACCCCCACACCCTGCAGATTCTCTCATCCGTTGTGCCAGGTCGACACGGCGTGGTCACCATCCACAGGCAACACAGGACACAGGGAGAGTTCTACAATCAGCATGTTAAGTGTTGAAACTTGCTTCTCGGGGGCGGCTGGGCAGGAGGGGTCAGATAAGACCTTGAAGCCTTCTGGGGGCACCAAGGCCTTGAAGCAAAACAGCTTTATTGATATGTACTTAGGGCACTGCTGAAGTCCCACTGAGCCTCTAAGGCACAGAAAGGTTTGGATAATTTAAGAGGCACCTCTGCCTTAGAACTAAGGGGTCAGGACAGTGGAAGGTTGCAGCCTTTTTTGGAAGGAGGAGCACACACACCACATACTAGTGCTCCTAGCATTGAGTGAAAACAGAGCCAGGAACTGGTGGCAAGTGCTGCAAACAAAAGGAGATCAGAGGTGGAGCTCTTTGTCATCACATAAAGTGTACAAAGTATTTTAAGGAGTTTCCTGGTAGGAGAACCAAACCGAGAGAGAGAGAGAAGGAGCCCTCCAGGATAGCTCTCTTGTGCTGCGATCAACATGTCCTTCCTTAATCTGATTAAATGGGTGGACTAAGAAAACAGAGGCATAAACCCAGAGGCAGAGAAGCAAGTTCCACACACTCAGAAGAGAGAGAGAGCAAAAGCAGGCATGTGCACCGTCACGCACCGATGAAATGAACACAAGACCAGCACATCCGCATGCGATTACTATGGTAGGATGCAGAACTCCAGTGCTTCACCCCTTCCCTCCCCCCCTCAAAAAAGAATTATTTGCGCTTTTGAGATATAAAAAAGGTTATAAACCAGTAAAGCAGGTGGTGATGTAAGGCTTGTGTTTCAGCTTCCGCATTCAAAGGTAGATTGCCCCTAAATGTCGATGCTAAAAGCTGGTATGTTCTGAAGTCCACTGCATTCCAAAAAAATAAAGGTTCTGAGATTCATTAAAGCTAGAGAATCAGTGTAGCAAAGCTAGGCAGTCGCTAAATAGAGGCTCTAAATATCTTCTATCACCCCCCTCCCCTGCTTCCCGGAAGAAACCCCCCCAAACCTGGTTATATATCTTAAGTGGAAACTGCAGGCTTCCAAAGCTTTCCCGGTGCTTCCAATCGCAGAGAAAGCCACAAAAGCAGAAAGCTGGCTAGCTATATGCAGAGAAGATGGAGCAGGAATCGAGAGAAGCTCCCTGTGCAACTAGCGGCATCTGAGAACTTTTCTTTCTACATGACATACAGAATTTTTTTGCCCGCACATTAGAGGGGGTCGGGGTGGGAGGAAAGAGTGCAGGACTCTGGTGCCAAAAAAAAGGGGGGGCTGTTTTGGGCCAGGGTTGCAGAATCCTCATTGCTGGTGCTCTTCCAAAAAAGGCAGCACAGCAATGTGTTCCATCTAGAAACCTTTTTAGTGTAAAATATATAAGTGTACAAAACACTGTGTGTTCACTTTATTGGACCTGAAGAATCCAGCAGCAAAAGAACGTCTACATATATGATGTATGGATCTCTCTCGTCAGAGTGGGACCTGCGGCCCAGGAACCTTTTCCTTTCGTCTTGCATGTTGGGAAGAACAAGGGGCGAGGCTCTGGCAGTTATGCGCCACGGATGTAGACTTAGAAAGGCGCGTTGTCTTGGGAGGGCTTGTCGCCAGATGCTGATGGGGAGTGGAGCTCATCGGTGCCGTTGTCTTTGCCGCCCACAACTTTGGACTGGACGAAAAAGAAGGAATGGGAACAGGTGAGAGCAGGAAGCAGTGGGCGGGACTCGCATGAAGAACCCCGTCAGCAGAGGCCCTGTGCAACAACTTCCAGTTGTGCGAGGGAGCTTCCCCTCCCTTCTGCTCCCCCCGAAATTGGATTGGGGTGAGGTGTGCCCCCAGAACACAGCACGGGGAGAGGAGAGGGAGGACCATTGCAGCTGGCAAGCTGAACTGCTTGCATGATTGGAACGTTTGTAATAGCGCATTGAATTCCACCCAGCGTCTGAAGGAAGGACCGTTGGGTGTGGAGCACACTTCCACCCACAGACAAGCCACAGCTGTCTGAACATCATGCCCTCTATCTAACCTTTGCTCTCTTAGTGGTCTGCTGTGCCCTGTCTGTGACCTTTGTCCCCTTCGTTATACAGTGGTACTTCGGGTTAAGTACTTAATTCGTTCCGGAGGTCTGTTCTTAACCTGAAACTGTTCTTAACCTGAAGCACCACTTTATCTAATGGCGCCTCCCGCTGCCGCCATGCCGCCACACAATTTTTGTTCTCATCCTGAAGCAAAGTTCTTAACCCGAGGTACTATTCTGGCTTAGCGGAGTCTGTAACCTGAAGCGTATGTAACCTGAAGCGCCTGTAACCCGAGGTACCACTGTACATTGTTCAAGCGGAAAATGACGCGGTGGAAACAGGTGCCAAAATAACTTTGTACCACCCCTCGATCTCAGGATTGGAAGATGTGTAAAGGTCACAGTCCAAAATGTATCTGACTGGTTTTGCATAGTGTGCTAATAAAAAGAGCCTAGGCAGAGCTAGCTGGGAGCTTGCTTATGAACAGCTCACCTGCATTACCAACTCCTGCCTCGTGTCCTTCACTTCAAGCATCGTTTGAACCCTTGCCCTCCCCACATTCTACTTTCCTGTGCACAAACCTTTGTACAGAAGCCAGTTCCCAGTTCCCTCACACTAGAGTGTGACCAAGCAATATAAAAACAGGATGGGACTCAGCGGACAGGAGGACAGGTTCTTAATGGCAGAGGCGGCTGCCCCCACCTACACCCCCTTTCTCATCCAAGGAGGCTTTTCATTCACTCATGTGTCTCTCTCCCTGGTTTTGCAATATGCAACCTCTTCCGTTGCACACACCCAGCCAGTTATGACAGTGGGCATCTTGCTTGTCTAGCAGAAACGTGTCGATCCTAAAAACATCGTGGCTTCGTACTGTGTCACGGGAGGGAAATTACCTTTATGGTTCCAACGCGGTCTTCAAAAGACTTGAAGGTTGCAGAATTTCTTAAAGGAAAAAGAGGAAGAAGCAAGTGAGAAAATAAAACTGCACAGGCATATTAGAAACTTGAATTCCGTTTTGAGGCAGGCAGCTAGCTTTGCTGGTGGAGAAACATCTACAGACCCCCCCAAAGCACTCATGGCCCCTGAAAAGTTTGGCTCAACCACAGCTGCTGCAAATTCCTGGTTCTGCTACCAACATTCACCAACCTGTTTCAGAGAAATCAACGTGCACCCAACTGCAGAGGAAGTCAATATAAAAAACTACTTGGCAGCTTTGAATTTGGGGTTCCAACCAGAGAACATCCTAAAGTAGCACACACACACACACACACACACCTACACAACGTCCCCTCCTCCCCAAAATGAAAAAGAGAAAAATCAAATATCAAGAGACCCGGGAACACACACAAAAAATTCAGTGGAATTAGTTCAAAAGTATCTCAATTGCCTCCAGTCGTCTTCCGTTAGCTCGGTTTGGAGGATAGCTTACCAAGATAAGCTGCCAAACTTTCATAACTAAAAAGTCAAGTTCCCAAAGTAGGCTGAGATGGTGTAACTGATAGAATATATTTGTTTATTACATTTATATACCACCTCTCTCTTCCAAGGATCTCAAGGTGGTGTCCATGGTTCTCCACATTTCATTCCATCCTCACGACAACCCTGTGAGGTAGGTTAGGCTAGGAGACAATGACTGGTCCAAGGTCACCCAGTGAGCTTCATGGCTGAGTGGAGATTCAAACCCTGCTCTCCCAGGTCCCAGTCTAACAATCTGACCATTATGCCACATGGCTATGGGCCCGAGATACCTTGCTTCAAATCCCCTGGCCGCAAAGCCCACGGGCAAGTCATGATCTCTCAGCCTATCCTGCTTTCAAAGCAGGCCAAGGCACCAGCTATCGAAATAGACTTAGTCATGGTTGAGAAGATGTCCCCGTAGATGTGTCCTTGAGCCATAAGAAAGCTCTGCAATGGCCATTTCCAAAAACTAGAACTGTATAATACAATGTGAACCAGCCATCAAACACAGGAGCTTAAAAGTAGTTTCATCAGCCTTGATGTTAGCACTCATTCAGCTCTGGCGACTTCTGTTTCAGTGTATCTGAAGAAGTGTGAATGCACACAAAAGCTCATACCAATAACAAACTTAGTTGGTCTCTAAGGTGCTACTGGAAGGAATTTTTTTATTTTGTTTCAAGTGGACAGTGATTGATTCTGAAAAAGTAGTTTGCCAGGCCCACCAGTTGAAAGTGATCCATCGCACAGAACCACATTTGTGGGTTGATTTTTTAAAAAGCATTGTCTACATAAAGCTGATTTGGGGAACTGCCTTAGTTAATATTTATAGACTGAAGATTCATTCCTATTAATATCCACTGACCGGCCACCCCACTGTTCTTTTGCAGCAGGCAAGACAGAATGAAATATTTTAAAAGCAAAGCAATCTAACTGGGTCCTGAGGGTGGCAAGTGGCTGTTTGGAGATGGGGGAAGAGGAGAGGGGCTTTTTGGTGGTGATACCAGGACTTCGCAACACCCTCCGCAGAGCACCTTGCCTGGCACTTCCTTCAATGTATTTTAAGCACCAGTCAGATACCTTCATTTTCTTGCTGTCATTTTTTGTCTCTGTGCCACAGGATTTGCAACCGCTCACATTTTTATGGATTTGCACTTTTATCCTGTATTTTATATTTCGCAATGTTTGTAACTGCATGTTTGTTAGCCGCCGTGAAAACCTTGTTGACGGGCAGAACATAAATATCCAAATTATTAACAATTCACAGTACACGATCTTTTTCCCTCTGAGGGGTCACATTGCTGTGCCACCCCCCCCCACACACACATTTAGCAGAGATAGAATTCACCCTTAGGCAAATATGGGACTTGCAAAAGAGACGGGGCTTTTGCTACTTTACCTCATAGCTGGCATACTTATCGAGTGACGAATGGAGTAGCTGCTACTCGGAAGCATTAAGGAGAAAGGAGGAATATATTAGAAGCAGTTAAAACCCTGGAAGCCGCCACACCCAGCTGACCCCATCCACACAGCGCCATGACAAAACTGCAAAGCATTTTGGGAGACTTCCTTTGTGCAGAACTGTGTTTTGGGGGCGCAAATTGCATAGCTCCTCTGTTCCTTCCTCGACAGGCCTCCACAGCTGAAAATGCAACCTTTTACAAGCAGGCCCTCCGAGGTTCTGAAATCCGCCACCCTAGAAAGAAACGGCCCCTCCAAAGTGTGCCAGAGGTTTATAACTAAAAGCAAAGGAATCTACTGCTCTGCCCAAACAGCCAGGCTGCCTGTTGACTAGTAAATAGATACAAAATGCCACTGCTGATCTCAATTCAAATCAGCCTGGGAAAAGAAGTATCTAAAGCTGGGGTCCCCCAATATGGTACCCTTGGGCACTAAAACATCCCAGGAGGGGTCTGGAGGGGGGGTTCTTTGCTTCTTGGAGGATGGTCTGCTTTTTGGGCTATGTAGGGGTTTAAAGGTAAAGGGACCCCTGACCATTAGGTCCAGTTGCGGATGACTCTGGGGTTGCGGCGCTCATCTCGCTTTACAGGCCAAGGGAGCCGGCGTTTGCCCGCAGACAGTTTTTCTGGGTCATGTGGCTAGCATGACTAAGCCGCTTCTGGTGAAACCAGAGCAACACACGGAAACGCCGTTTACCTTCCCGCCTGAGCAGTACCTATTTATCTACTTATACTTTGTGCTTCCGAACTGCTAGGTTGGCAGAAGCAGGGACCGAGCAACGGGAGCTCACCCTGTCGCGGGGATTCGAACCGCCGACCTTCTGATCGGCAAGCCCTGGGCTCTGTGGTTTAATCCACAGTGCCACCCGCGTCCCATGTAGGGGTTTAGCCTGGGTCTTTTGGGGAGTGAAAGGCTCTGAGCATTGCCCGTTTTCCTCCTGCGAAATGGGTATTTTGTGGCACCCGCAGCCGTTTTCGATTCCCAAATGTGCTCCTGGGCTTAAATGGGTTGGGGACCCCAGACTCAAAGCATCCACTGGTGTTGCCGCACCTTAGAGAGCAAGCGTGACAGACACACAGCCCTCCAGTCTACAACTCCAATTCAGACCTATCCAAAGCAACCAGTGGCTAGGGATCGGTGGTGGGGTCTGCAGACACCAGGTTCCCCTCTTCTGTTGAAGGGCAACATGAACAGGACTTGTCACCACCCAGAGGAGCTTAAAGTCCAGCATCCCACATTACAGGAGCAGGCTGGATGTTGAACTGCAGCAATACTGCCTCTGGTCAAAAAGCCAAAGCCGCCCACACAAGCACCAATTCATTTTAATTCAAGGGAAAGCCTTTTAATACTGTGCTTTGCCCAAGAGACGCATCTGGCCCGCAACCAAGCCCTGGAGTGGCCTCTGTTTAAAAAAAAAAGGGGGGGGAGAGGCAGGGCAGCACACAATGCTGTCGACACAGCAAAGTGGGAAGGAGGCATTCAGATGGCCTTTGCGGCACTAGGTTTCCGAACTCGGCAACTTGCCTTCGGTCTAAAGCCATCGGTGGAAAAGGAGAGCAGGTAAAAGCCCCCACCAAGCATGTAATGAACCCGCATAGTTGTGACACTTTGTTGTAAAAAATCTGCCTTTGTCTGGGGAGGAGCAAAGGTCCAGTTTGCCCAGTACCATCTATTGTAGGCCAACTGGCTGTTGTTCTCAAGTGTCTTATCTGGCCCCTATCTGAGCCAAGTTGCGGAACGAAGCCAAAGGAAAGCTGTTCAGGCTCTTCTGTTGTGTCAAACCAGTTCTTGCGTTTAACATGACCACCCCAAAAAGGCATTTGGGAGCATGTATGCGTGAGACATTAAGCAACCAATAACCTCTCCTTTTTTAAGAGGGAAAACCAGAAGCTTTTGGCTTTGAGCTCATTGGAAAGATACTGGCAGCATCTATAAATGGCTCTGGAGGGCGGGAGTGTTATGTGGCCATTTGTGGTTCCCAATCCCTTTCCTTTCAACTGAAAGTGAGGCTCATGTGTATGCCTCGGAAAACAACCTTGTTTAACCAGATTCCTTGCAGATATCCCTCTTGAACAGAGCCTTACCTAAAGGAATGTGAGAAGGGGTGGGCCCTGGAAGATTCCAATGGCAGCAGGAAAGGAAAGTAGTGAAAGAGGCGATTAGTTGCAAATTCCCACACCAACCAGTACAACACAACACTTAAGAGATCCCAAAGGAACCCATCTAAAGACTAACAGATAGAGAGCAAGCAGTGATTTCAGGAGAGGTTAGGAACATAGGAAGCTGTCTTATACAGAGTCAGACCATTGGTACACCGAGTCCAGCATTGTCTTCACAGACTGGCAGCAGCTCTCCAAGATTTCGGGTGGGGTACATTCCCAGCCCTACATGGAGATGCTCAGGATTGAACCTCGTAGCTAATGCATGCAAAGCAGATTCCTTGCCACTCCAAGCTCCAGCCCTGCTATATTCCTGGCACTGGGCACTGACCATGCGAGCATTAAGCCACGCTAAATTAACTTGCCGTTTATTACATCATTAAGCATGTGGCAAACCCTCATAGGTAAACAGATACGCTTGCCAACTTTTTATCCAGAGGCACTGCTAACTGGTTAAACCTGACTCCTTTAATCCACCTGTATTTACTATGTGGCCAGTGGGTCAATTTTACCAGACCCACAGATCACACAGCAGGGAGTTGATCCCAGAAAAGAGAGAAAAAGCATCTCAGACGCAAGTGTGATGAACTACTGTGTAAATTCTGCCTGGAGAGTGAAAACCTCCACCTCCCTAAGAGGCTAGAGAGAGGGGGGTTTCATTTTAATGTGCTATGGAGAATTCTGTATCCAGCCCTTCAGGGTAGAAATCTACAATCAGATAATGATTTTCAACTTTGTAGAGAGGGGCTTTGCATTTCAAGGGCTGCATGTCCTCCAGCCACAAATGCATAACACACTCTCTGGGTTCAATTGACTTTTACTTAGTACACCACCAAAAATTAATCTCCAGCTTTGCCAATACAGTGGTAACTCGGGTTACCAACAGTCCTGCGTATGAACGCTTCGGTTTATGAACTCCACAGACTCAGAAGTAGGTATCCCGGGTTGCAAACTTTGCCCTGGGATGCGAACGCAATCCGCTTCAGAGGCTGAGGGAGGCCTATGTAGGGAATGCGTGCCACGGGTTAAGAACCCTTCGGGTTAAGAAGAGACTTCCGGAACAAATTAAGTTTGTAACCCGAGGTACCACTGTATGTAAGGGCTGCTATATTTCTCTTTACACTTCCTTTCAAGCCAGGAATGTGTGTGTATTTTTGCTTAAGGCACGAAACAGATATTGGTAACAGCCGGGCTCTCTCTTTCATGGCCAGGAACCAGCATGTGCTTCTTCATCCCAGAATCCTACAGGCAACCTGATACCCGAGTCCATCTGCATCTTCAGATGAGTGTCTAAATGCAGACCTCAAGGCTTCAAAATACAGAGTTATTACTATTATTATTTCTTCACGTTTCTCATCATTCTCCCGACCCCTAAAATCCTGTGCACGATTTTGAGAAATTTCAGTTCAGGCTTTAATAAGACACACTGCCCAAATATGGATTTTGGAAAGGACTGACACCATTGTACAAGGACACCCTAACAAAACAGAAGAGTTTAGATGAGGGGTAGGCAACCTAAGGCCCGTGGGCCAGATGCGGCCCAATCGCCTTCTCAATCCGGCCCGTGGACGGTTTGGGAATCAGCGTGTTTTTACATGAGTAGAATGTGTCCTTTTATTTAAAATGCATCTCTGGGTTATTTGTGGGGCATAGGAATTCGTTCATCCTCCCCCCAAATATATATAGTTTGGCCCTCCACAAGGTCTGAGGGACAGTGGACCGGCCCACAGCTGAAAAAGGTTGCTGACCCCTGGTTTAGATCCTTAACCGCTTCTCTTAAGTCATGTGAGTGGGATTTGGCAGCATGGTCAAAGCATCTTTTTCTGCCCCCGATTCCTCACAAGCTGTAGAGCAGCAAGGAGAAAATGCAAGCCAAGGTCTGGTAGCCAGAAATTGAGTGCAGCAGTGTCAGAGTTAAGAGGACTGAGATTCCAAAGGACTCTGTTCCAAAGGAATATTGGGAGAACAGCTGTTATGAAATCTCGCATCCAAAAAAGCCCAGTGCGATTTGGCCCAATTTGCATTGTACATTTGATGATAGTGGCCCCTTGTTTTCAAGAGGGATCGTGAAAACCATGCCATTTGCCAATGCTGCAAGGCCGTTAATTCCATTCATTAAAAAAAAAATTAGCAGAGGCGTCTCTACTGGGGCTTTTCACAACAGTTAGCTAGCTAAGATGGGTTGGATCCAGAGGAAGTTATGTCACAGTTTAGTTCCATTTATTTCAGTGGAACTGGAGTGTGACTACACTTATCAAGCTGGACCCTGAGGAAGTTAAATCAGATTAGATACTATAGAAAATATACAGGCAATGCGTCGAGGTTGAAGGCTTATCCAGCAGGTGTCTGCGAGTTCAAGGAGATTATTGTTGCTTAGACCTGACCAAGACCTTGTCCCTTCATCAATTACCTTTCCCCTTACTTGGAGCAGCCAAGGTGGAAAGTTTCATTCATGAACACACTTCAAAGCACACCAGCAAAACAACGGAATGTGGTTTGCTTCTTAAGAGGATAGTATAAAAAGAGCAGAATCTCTAAGGCACATGACAAAGATGAACGAGGCTGAACAGAGAGGAAAAAACCTCTTCTGCCCAAAGGAAAGAGGTTCACTGCAAAACACCAGTTTCACTCCTTTTAGTCTCTGATCACATAAGTCAAGCTTTGTGGCACAAGTCTGCCTTTCATTTGAGGGAACTGGTTCGGTAAGGACTAGGAAAAGAGCCTCTATGGACATCAGGATGAGACCCTGCAGAAGGAGGCAGCTTCTTTCTCCCACTTGTTTGACTGCTGCTATCTGGGGCAGAGAAAATCACACGCAGCAGTACTTTACTGACATTTAACTAGACATTACCAGGGTGTGGGGAAGAGGAGACCACAAATTATCTGTCCTAACTAAGTTTCAACCACACCTTTGTTATGATGTGGATTGAAAGTTCATTCTCTTTGAGGATAAACCACCAAAGTCTCCATTTATCACATTACTCTAAGTGGTACAGGGGCCTGCTCTGCCTTCTCCACAAGGTTCATCCTCTTCATTAGCCTAGCTACGAGTTCTATTCCTACTTTCTTTCAGATCCTGTGTGATTTGGCCACAGTGACTCTGTACTCTGATGACAAATACGTTGCTTTTTTAAGGACCACTGCTTTGTGGTTCAAAGGTTTGATAACTTGCATGAACATTTAAATGCTGCTTTAAAACACACACAGAGAGATCTAATCAATGTCTTTGCTATTCACACTGTAGATGCCACATTGCAATTTGTGAATTTCAGGAAGTCGACCATGCAAAACTAAAATAGCAAACTAGGTTTGCTAGGATGGGGGGGGGGGGGAGGCATGGTTCTTGTTTGCAAGCTGTATCAGTTTCCAGGAAAATGTTATCAAGACATTTATGAAATAATTCTCTGGGACATTTAAAGCAAGCATGTTGCTTTTGGTAAGAAAACGGTGCTATCTGCTAACTCGAAGAACAACACACACACATACACACACACATAACCACAATGTACTAGGGGTGGCGATAGTCCTGAAAGTGCTATTATGTGATCAGAGTTTATATCAAGCGCTTACCACCCAGATATTCCCAGCCAGAGAGGGAATGGAGAATGTCTGAGAAGAATCAATGTTGCAGTGAATACAAGGGCTCAATTCTACATTAAGTACTATTAACACATTAAGCAGTTGATGTATATAATATAGTGTAGCATAACACAGCTTGCATTTATAAAAATTCTCAAGAATAAGGATTGAAGGGGAATCATTTGCTGTCCTGCATTTCACAAATAAGTGTGAACATACCCTGTGAACCTTGGATAACTTCCTTCCATATTCTCTTGACCAAACCAAAGTGGCAACTTCACTTGTTGCAAGTCAGTGCTAATGGTGCCATTAAATGGGGATACAGAATTTAAATAAGACTTCCCCATGTGTCTTCATGGGGAAATGTAGCGTTAGGCTTCTTTTCGGCTTTTAGCCCTGTATTTAGACTACCTCCAGCTCAGTTTAAGATGAAGGCTGAATGAGTTTCCAAACCAGAAACTGAATCCGTCAACAAACCCTAGACAACTATCACCTGATTGCAGGCTACCAAAGTTTGGAGCACATAGATAATTTGCAACAGAGCTGAACTCTAGTGAAAGTCTAAACATTTAGGGGATGTTTTGATTGTTTACTTATATGCAGCTTTTCCATAATGAGATTGCCCAAACTGGCTTACAACAAACATCGAAATATAGAGCCTTAGAAATACAAATATGCAAAATATAAAACATGTCAGTAAATTAAAATTTTTAAAAAGCCTAAACCGATTTGGCAAACAGAGAATAAATTCACTATTACACACACATGAAAATTCTAGGCTTAAGTACATAAATACAACACAAAACAAGCGTTAACCAGCGATAAAGTTTTTGGTACTTGGTCTTGCTGCACTCCCAAGAGGGGCGGGGTAAGTCCACAACCCAAGTTCTCACTGAACCCATGAACAAACAGGATTAGACCATCTAGTGGGTTAAATGGGTCGTTCCCCCCACTGACCATTTAAATAATCAAGCTTATAAAACATTAGGTGTGTAACAAGCAGAGAAATCTATGCCAAACAAGTGTTATTAAGTTCTGGACACAAGTTCTAAACTTAGTTGCTTATACTGTAGTTGTATTACACAAGCACATGTGTAGGCAAAGGACATTATAGAAATCAAAAAAATCCTCTGTAGTTTTTCATCTCAGAAAAACAGTGAAGCAAAAAAGAAAAGAAATCAAAGAATTTGTTTAAAAGATCAGTTTATGTTACATTATAGCGTCTGGCGCTGGGCGACCTGCTTCTAAAATCAGCATAACACTAACTGCAAATTCCTCAGAACTAAGGGGAACATTGCTTTTATCAGATATCAATAGGGCATTATTATTTTATTTTTTTAAGGAGAGGCCACCAAGGAAAGGCCATTCGTGGCTTCAGAGAAAATGTAAGTTAAATAGAAAGTCAAACATTCGGCACCTCTCGCCCCTGTAACTGGAACCAGGGCTGTTAGATACTGATTGCTACTGTTGCACTGGGTTCATGCTCAACTTCCTCTCCCTTTGAAGCAAATATAGCGCAGAAATTACCTCATGTCTCCAAGCTTCCGGCTGATCACAGAGCCCACGTTGGAAAGGGCAGCCGAAGTCTTCTGCCCTGCCTGCGAGAGAGTTTCCTGCGTCTTCTTGTAGCTAGGCAAGAAAAACAAGGCTTGTTAGCAGCTGAAGACAGCAATTAAGGAGGAAGGACGAGGCGGCGCTAGGGGAAAAGGCAGCTGGTGTCTGGCAGACAGGGCTCTTGTGGATAAGGGAGACAGCGGCACTTCTGACCAGGGTCTCATTGTGAGAAAGCATCACTTGAGGGTCGTCGATGGCTCCTCATTCCTAAACACCATGCAGCTGTGGTTAAAACAGGGCATACGCAGCTGTAAGTGACACTGGCACACATCCTCACAGGCATTTACTGAAACTAAAAGACTTCAATGAATAAGTGAGAATGGCTGGAAAGTTGTTCAGCTGGTTCCCAGTGCAATGATGGATTTAAAGCCTTTTTGCACAGAAGCAGCGAAGTTGTTTCTTTAACGTATGCCTTTACTACCAGTGCTGATTTTTAAAAAATAAAATCTCATTGCACAGGGCTAGAAGCGTTTTCTCACTGCAAGTCAGTCAAATTGCATTTGGGGCATTCGTTCTCCTTACAACCCCCATGCTTTTCCTTTGCACCCATATTAAAAAAGAGGATTTCTCATCTACACAGGAATTACAAAGCAGCCCCCATCGCCCCCGCAAAAAAAGCTTTCAGCTGGCGACAGCATTAGAAATTTAGAAGGAACAGTTAACAGTGACAAGTTAATTCAGAAAAGAATCAGCCTTGCTTCTGCTATGTAAGGAAAATGTTTCCCATCAGTTACCATTAACATTGCTATTTTAAAACAGGGACAATAGCAACACACTCCAAAGAACTAAAGTACCCATTTCTGGGATAGTTTTCTGCCATCAATCCAAAGACTCAGATGGCACAATCTTTATGTTTTAGTTCTAAACACAGTATTTCAGTCCCTACTGAGCAAGCCACTAACATCCCCAGAAAAAATCAGTGCACAGAGGGAACAGATTAAAGATAGGATTATAGCCAAGCACCTTCTAAAATCTTCCCCTGATCGTTAACGTTGGAATTCTGCATGCACTAACAACCTAAACTCAGTGGGACTTGTCCCTCATCAGCCACGTACAAGATAAGACTATTCGCATTGCCATTAATTAGGATAGCATTTTTTGTATACAAACAGCCATCGCTGGTGGTGAGTATATTCCATATCCTAACGAAGTAAGCTGTTGCACAGTGAATCCTCATAAACTCACTGCCCCGGGCTCTCGTGTGCTAGCTAAGATCACTTCTAGTATCAGAGCCAAGCTGGAGAGAAAGCCTCAGACTGTGCTCCATGGAGAGGCAAGACTTGTCCTCCTCGCCCATGAACCCAGGCCTCTGGCTCCTTCCTTTAAAAAATTAATTAATTCTAATTATTAAATCTGCACTGCAGCCTTCTTCCTGAAGGTGCCCAGTTCTCATCGAGGCTGGCAATTCTTGTGTATAACCTGGGTTACTTTAGATTTACAGATGGGTGCTCACTTTGAAGCTTAATAGCTAAAAGCAGTGCTCCAGTAGGAACACACCTGTTGAAAACAAACCTGCCAGGAAGGCTAGACTCTGCCCACACCCCGATTTTCTATGTAGAGGGTGTGAGATGTGAGCCACAGCTGCATCCTCAAGAGGGCCACTCAAAAGGCAGGCTGACCATCTCACTCAAAGGGAGGCCTTGGTCCCAGCAAGAGTTCCTCGACAGCAGTGTTTCTCAAGCTTGGATTACAACTTCCATCATCCCCGACCACAGGTCCTGCTAACTAGGGATGATGGGAGTTGTAGTGCAACGACAGCTGCGGACCCAAGCTTGAAAAACACTGCCCTGCAGATATTAAACTTCTTCCATCTGTCAATCTAGGCAAGGCGTGCTGTCTGTGCAGAATACAGTCATACCTCATGTTACATTCGCTTCATGTTACGTTTTTTCAGGTTACGTCCCATGGCGACCCGGAAGTACCAGAAAGGGTTACTTCCGGGTTTCGCCGCTCGCGCATGCGCAGAAGAGCAAAATGACGTCACGCGCATGCGCAGAAGCGGCAAATCGCAACACGTACGTGCGTAGACATGCCGCTGCGGGTTGCACTCTTTTCATGTTGTGAACGGGCCTCCGGAACGGATCCCGTTCGCAACCAGAGGTACCACTGTAAGGGCATTAACAGAGGCAGAACCTTCTCTGCAGGGGAGCCAAATGGGTAAGATCTGCACTACAAATTCAGCATGCATCTTTTGAGTTACACCTTATTAATGGAACTTGAAGGTCCATTTCAATTAAAGCCAACTGTATCCATTGAAGCAATGGACATCTAGAACAGGAACAATGCGGAGGTTCAGCTTAAATGTGAAAAAAAATCCCATCTGTTCAGGGACAGAATCTTGGTAACATGCTGAACTGGAGCCCACGATCTAGCAACCAGGCCATTTTACTTGCTTCCTTGTTTAAAGCATTGGCAGCTTCATTAAACATGGCTGCAGCTATCCCAGGTGTTGGTCCTCAGTTGTTTAAAAGGGCACGTGAATGGCATTTGTCTTCTTCAGCATTCTCCTGCCCTGCATTAGGTGTTAAGATACTGCAAGGGTCGGCTGGGGACGACTTAGCAAGACCAGCTGTCGTGTAGCTGTACCTATTCTTCATCCTGACACCAAAAGCACCCCCTGATTACAGTCCAGCAAGTTCCTAACCATTTGTCCCCCAAAACGTGGGGTATAATCATCTGAAGGGGTAGGCCACCAGCATCTGGTCTCTGTATCACTCAAACATTAGGGTTTTTTTTAACGCTAACCCTAAGCCCCAGCACTATTTCAAACACACTTTCTCTCTCTGGCTCTGACATGCAACACAGAAGCTCCTTAAGCACTGTACAAAAGCTGCTTCTACCCTAAGCATCCCAGAAGCCACATTTTGCTTCCTGTGCTGACAAGAAAGCTCGTGTATTTGCTCACACCCCTCTGGAATAATACTTATTCAGCTGAGGCCTCCCAAAAACCCATCCTGCCTTTGTGCCTTCCCTGCAGCCCCAGCTGTCTTAGCAGAAGCTGAAGTTTCCTAGAAATATAGGGAACAGATATTTGCCTTGCAATGCACTGTGGGTTAAACCACAGAGCCTAGGGCTTGCTGATCAGAAGGTCGGCGGTTCGAATCCCTGCAACGGGGTGAGCTCCCGTTGCTCGGTCCCTGCTTCTGCCAACCTAGCAGTTCAAAAGCACATCAAAGTGCAAGTAGATAAATAGGTACCGCTCCGGCGGGAAGGTAAACGGCACTTCCGTGCGCTGCTCTGGTTCTCCAGAAGCAGCTTAGTCATGCTGGCCACATGACGCAGAAGCTGTACGCCGGCTCCCTCAGCCAATTAAGCAAGATGAGCACCACAACCCCAGAGTCGGCCACGACTGGACCTAATGGTCAGGGGTCCCTTTAGGTAAAGGTAAAGGTACCCCTGCCCGTACGGGCCAGTCGTGTCCGACTCTAGGGTTGTGCGCCCATCTCACTTAAGAGGCTGGGGGCCAGCGCTGTCCGGAGACACTTCCGGATCACGTGGCCAGCATGACGAAGCTGCTCTGGCGAGCCAGCACCAGCGCAGCACACGGAAACGCCGTTTACCTTCCCGCTATAAAGCGGTACCTATTTATCTACTTGCACTTAGGGGTGCTTTCAAACTGCTAGGTGGGCAGGAGCTGGGACCGAAAGACGGGAGCTCACCCCGCCGCGGGGATTTGAACCGCTGACCATGCGATCGGCAAGTCCTAGGCACTGAGGTTTTACCCACAGCGCCACCCGCGTCCCCTAGTGGTCCCTTTACCTTTACCGTAATACACAGCCTTCCACAAGCCAATGCCTTCCAAATATTTTGAACCAAAGATCTCTTCAGCCTCAGATCTGTGCTAGCTGGGGCTGATGGAGGCTACAGTATGAAACATCTGGAGGGCACTGGGTTGGGGAAGGCTGGTGCACACCTCCACCCTTCTATTCATTTGTCAACGAATTCAGTGAAGCATTGGTACTTAACAAAAGCCTGAAAAGGAAGGCTAGCATGCCATGACTAAAAAAAGGTAAGAAAGTTAAGTCCAGTCATAGACGACTCTGGGGTTGCGACGCTCATCTCGCTTTACTGGCCGAGGGAGCTGGCGTTTGTCCGCAGACAGTTTTTCTGGGTCATGTGGCCAGCATGACTAAGCTGCTTCTGGCAAACCAGAGCAGCACACGGAAACACTGTTTACCTTCCCGCTGCTGCAGTACCTATTTATCTACTTGCACTTTGATGTACTTTCAAACTGTTAGGTGCGCAGGAGCATGGACTGAGCAACGGGAGCTCACCCCATTGCGGGGATTTGAACTGCCGACCTTCTGATCGGCAAGCCCAAGAGGCTCAGTGGTTTAGACCACAGCGCCGTCCTCGTCCTTATAGCATGACTAGAGGTGTTTAAAAATTCAACTCCGGAAACTTTCCACCCAAGTTGACTTCCTGCTGAAGTTGTCAGGAAGCTGAAGTTTGCAAAACTTCCTGCTTTGCTAGGGGGTTTCCACTCAGATTAAACTCAGGACAAACTCTGATTAAACCCCACCAAAGAAAATGGCTTTCTGTTAACTCAAAGCAGCTGCTGGGGTTTGTCAATGCATAGCAAGGTAACTATACACTTTCGTGGGAGAAAGCAGGTAGCACTGAATCTCAGTTTAATGAAGGTCAAGTTCCTCTCTCAGAATTTCCCCCTAGCCAGCCAAAATTGTAACAGGAAAAAAGGCCAAGTAGCCCTGAGAGGCAATGAGTTAAACAATAAAATACTCCAAAAGCAGACAAGTGTTGTGGGGAGGGGAGAGGAAGGGTCAAGCTCCACAAACAAGTCACTAAGGCCAAGTACTATACAGTCGTACCTCTGAAGTCGAACGGAATCCATTCCAGAAGTCCATTCGACTTCCAAAACGTTCAGAAACCAAGGCATGGCTTCTGATTGGCTGCAGGAAGCTCCTTAAGCCAATCGGACGCCACGTTGGACGTTCGGGTTCCAAATGACGTTTGCAAACTGGAACACTCACTTCTGGGTTTGTGGCGTTTGGGAGCCAAAACGTTCAAGTCACAAGGCGTTTGACTTCTGAGGTACGACTGTAAATCCAAAGGAGCTTCTCGCAGGATAGGCCTTTCCCAGTTCCTTATTTCTGATGCAGTCCTATCCTTCCTATAAAGCCACTCCAGAGGACTGGGAGATCCTTCAGAGTGGCATTCAATGAATGAAGTGCTACAGCAGGACTGGAAATCAGTAACCCACCCACCCCTCACATGTGTGCAAGCAGAAATGCATTCCATTCCAGCCTCAGCTTCTCTGAATTCAAGTCAACAGGGACTCTTCCTGCCTCATCAGCTCCATTGAATTGAACGGGAAGCAATCAGAGTTACAGGGTTCTTCTATTACTTCCATTTATTTCAATGGGGATACTCAATGGGGAGAGACACACACATGCTTGCAGTTAGGAATTATGGAAGCTGGCTCTAATTTCCTTAAAAAGTGGCTCCTGGGGACATCAGAAGAAATATGCTGATTACGGTAAGATCATATAAGGACTATAACCAGAAGTTTCCTAGACATAAGGTGAACCAAAGGAAATTGTTGCACTGCCCTCCTGTTGAAACTAGGATTGGGAACCTACGGTTCTCCAGAACCCCCATCTAAGGGTTACAAAATGCACCTGTCTTAAGCTCGCTTTAATTTATATGCAGTAATGCTGCACATAGGAGCATTAGTGTGCTTGGTCGGGTTCACTGCAAGGCCCTGTGAGCGTACTGAATACAAAAACTGTTAAAAAAAACAAAACTCCATTCCCTTACCATCTAAATTCTGCACCAAGAAAAAATGCATTCTACAACTTGCAAAACTATGCCATTTGCAACCATTTCTATCTTTGCAGTATACTGTGGGTTCTTTTTCCTTGTTTGCAGGATTTATTCTGCTTTGCTAGTCATGGGTGGAGTACAGTCACTGAAGTTCTCTGGCTGCTGAAATTTCAGAAACGCTGCCCACATACTTTCAAACTTTTTTTTACACCCCTAAGGGCTAGAATTCATGCATTTAGAAAAATTAATTAAAAGAAGAGAACCTCAGGATTCTGGTCCCACTATTACATTCTGGATTACATTTTGCACTCCCACAGAACCGCAGTCCACAAGCAATAATCATTTGCAAGCTTAAGCTGCGCATTAACCTGAACAAGGCCTATCCAAAGGAAGCACAGAAGCAGGCGAAGGTGTTTACTGCCAAAGAGCAATGGGCAAATGTCAGGGTGGCAAGGATATCACAGATAAATTCATGGGATCATAGAGAAAGCTGCCACGCAGTAAGCTGCAGAGTCTAAGTCATCCTTCTCCCACTATCCCTAATTAGTCAGCAAAACAAACGGCGTTTAGAGAATGGAGACCAAGCAGGAAGGCAGTTAGTGCAGGGAAGGAACTGTTAGTTGCAGGATGCTATTGGAATAAGGGAACGTGCTTTAGGCTGAAGGTTAAGACACTCACGCTTCTGATTGGGTTAATTTCTCATTCCAGTCCTCCAGGGTGCTGCTGGCCGAAACATATCTATAAATACAACGGTAGTTAGAGAAGGGGCCAAAACCTTTCTTCCACAGCACTCCAAACCACAAGGGCTGTAACAAAGTCATCACCATTCCTTCAAGCTTTTGTATTTATTCCTCCCTAGTTTGTGTTATTTCGAGGTCAGATTCCTTCCTGTTCTCAGGGCAAACCATCGAAGACACGCAGTCTTAAATAAATAAAATGTTCAGATGTTACAGCTCCTTCCTTTTCATGCTTGCGGAGGGCAGAGGCACCCTAGACTTAGCAGTCCTACTTTGCTGCTGTTAGATTAAAACAGAGCCCATCCCTGCAGGATCAGGCCCACGGCTCACCTAATCCAGAATCCTGTCCTCACAGTGGGCAGCCAGATGCCCTAATGGGAAACCAGCAAGGCAGGATTCAAGCACAAGAGTTTACGCTGGGTGTTCAGGGAGGTGCATCAAAACAGCAACCGTTCTTCTTCCTTCCTTTGGCAAAGGCAGACACGCCAGCGACCCCAAGGCTACTTTAACCAGCCTCTCCCTCTCCCACTATGGTTTGGTTGAGGCAGCTGCGTCTCAAAGAAATTGCCACACATACCTTTACGCGACTTAACATTTGCCAGGTGCTTTGTTTTAAAGTGCAATTAAGTTTAAAAGGCTGCAAGGCTGCTGCAGTGCAGAGAGTGGTGGAAGGCAGGTTTTAAACTGCCATTTCAAACATTTATTTCTATGCCTCCCCTGCGGAAACATCAATCTGAAAGGCTAGATTTTTGGGGGGGGGGGAGAGAATGTGTCTCACTGTTGCCTATGGCTTGGGCTACCATTTGCAGTTAGATGCACTGTAGCATGTGGGAAAATAAAGAGTGAAGACATAATTGAGCGTCTTAAAACAAGGTCACACTAAGCCCAGGATTCTATAAATACAAGTGCTATAGCAGCCTATTAACACCCAGTCTTCAGAAACCGCTTTGAGGTTTTTTCTTGCGGGGAGGGGGCGTTTTACAATCAAGCAGTGTATAAATGAAATAAAATTAAGATTTGGCTTTTTGAATTTTTTTTCTGCACTGGGGAGGAAAGTGCCTGTTTAATAGTTAGCTGGCTGGCTATAACTACCTAGTCCAGTCCCAAATATAAAGAAAAATACAAGCCGAGACAAATAATTTGGGTCAAAAAGAGTTCTAGTGGGCCAGGCTGCCAGCTTTAAGCTGAATTGTCAGGCTTGTAAAGCAAGTAAGCCTGAAAGAATCACTAATACCCTGACTTTCGCTCAAAGGGGCTGTCCAAGGAGCGACAGAGTGCCCTGTCCCAACTCCACCAGCTTATTTGGATTTCTGCACTAGGCACGGGGAGGGGAGAGATTCTCATACGTTAATTCAGGCAAGGGTGGTCATGTGCCAGCATGCAGACCTACATATACAGGCATGCACGCAGTTGACCATATGGACACAGCTCCCTCCCACAACTCAGCAACACCACATCAGGCAGCCTCGGCCCAAATCTCAAGCCAGCCAGGAGGCTGCAACACAGCCATGTCCAAAGTTGCTCCGTCCTGGCCTAGAACTAAACCCTGAATACATTTTTAGGTGTGCTTCCTCAGCAGTGAGCAGCACTGAACTCGGTGGGACCTTTGAGCAGAGATGCACAGAGCAACACTGCAGGTCTATCAGCTTGAAGGTCTCGCACGGTCCCATCCATCCTCCTTTGCTGTCTCTTGCACCTGGAAGGGCAAGATGCTGCTACTGCCGTCACCTCTCTCACCCCCCCCCCAAATGAAGGAACAATGCCTTCTGTGGCCACCTCACATAGTGAAACCCAAGGCACCATTTCTCCTTTGCAAAGCAGCCTCCAGAAGAAGAGGTCCCCAGTCAAGAAGCAGGGAGCCAGGGTGAAGAACCCTTCCTTGCTGCCCACAAGTGTTTGCAGGGGGAAAGCAACGGGCAAGAGTTGAGCAACCTTTCCCACTGCTGATCTCCACCTTTCAACAACACTTTGTAGCCATGGAACATAGAGGTATTCAACAAAGTTTAATTCAGAGTATAGTCACTGAAATTAATAGACCTTACAGGTAAAGGGACCCCTGACCATTAGGTCCAGTCGCGGACTCCTCTGGGGTTGCGGTGCTCATCTCGCTTTATTGGCCAAGGGAGCCAGCATACAGCCTCCAGGTCATGTGGCCAGCATGACTAAGCTGCTTTGGCGAACCAGAGCAGCACACGGAAACGCCGTTTACCTTCCTGCCGGAGCGGTACCTATTTATCAACTTGCACTTTGTGCTTTCGAACTGCTAGGTTGGCAGGAGCATGGACCGAGCAACGGGAGCTCACCCCGTCGCGGGGATTCAGACCGCCCACCTTCCGATTGGCAATCTCAAGAGGCTCTGTGATTTAACCCACAGCGCCACCTTACTTAGTCATTAATTTTAACGAGCCTACTCTGCATAAAACTTATACCACCCGATGGTTCCAGCCGAAAGCTAAAACCAAAAGTTACGAAACTGCATTTGCTAACACCCAGCCTTCACATTTCCCACTCTCCTTTGTCCATGGTCTGCATGTGAGCATCAGAATCTGAAATGGTAAAACCTCCCTTTTGCCATGTACAGGAGTGATGCTAAATTAACGTAGCCAATTCCCAGCTGGACTTCTGCAATGTTTCAATGTGGCCTGGTAACTGATTGGAATTTTCCTTTCTCTATGCAAGGAAATGTCATAGAAGCCAGCAAGATGAGCTTAATCTTGAACGGGGACAAAAAATGTTTATGGGCAAAAGAATGGAGTTTTGACGTTAATAAGCGAAAGGCCCAGAAGTTGCTCCTCCAACATCCCAAGCACACAGCCAGCTTCCTCTGGGACCAAAGTGAAGGGGTAGAATGAGTCAGAGGAAAAGAGCAAGGAAGAGGGAGTTGGTGCTTGTAAGGCGGGAGAGGAACTCACAGGTCCGATCGGGTCAGTTTCTCATTCCACTCTCCAAGTTTCTCAGAGGTTTTCATATAACTAGAAACAAAAACCTGGGGGTCAATCACACTTTTGAAAGCTGGGGTCAAAATAGTTTCAAGAGAGGAGAAAACCCAACATCCAAGAGGCAGGTGATGAAATATTGACCCAGCCTGAGAGATGGGTCTTGGCAACACTCCTGTCAGAGAAAAAATGAAGCAGCGTGCGAGATTCACAGCATCCTGGGATGGGGAGCTAGAGTGTATTTGTAGCTTTGATACATGCATACAGTTCCTCAGATGCCTTTGGGAAGAGATTGTGATTTGGAATTATAAAATTAAATTAAAGGTGTTGCATGGCATGAACGGATTGGGGTGTGCACTGCAAAGCAGCTACAGCTGTTGCTCAGGCAAGCAGAGATCTTGGCAAGGAGGGTTTTGACTTAAGTCAACAAGGCAATTAGAAGCCCAGACTGTGATCCAAAGAAGCACCAAGCCTAGATAGCTCAGTTGGTTAGAGTGTGGTGCTGATAACGCCAAGGTTGCAGGTTCGATCCCCGTATGGGGCAGCTGCATATTCCTGCATTGCAGGGGGTTGGACTGGATGACCCTCAGGGTCCCTTCCAAGTCTTCAATTCTATGATTCCACAGCCATCACAAATAAGCTGGGTGCTCAGTGGCCTAGCGGGCACCCTCTATATGACGTAACTGGCAATGGGAGCTCCATGTAGGCATCCTTCAAGTCTCCTTCCCTGTAAAGCAAGTGTGAAGAAGTGGTTCTGACTCTTGGGAGCCAGATCCTTATCTCCCCTACCCTTCATGGGTCAGATCTGAGAGGTGGGCATGGGGTCAGGTGAGGGGACGCTTTGACGTTCCAACAACTGTTGCAGCTTCAGAGCGCTGGGCAGGCCACGCAAGGAGCCCTGCGTGGTGCTTTGGAGCGCTGCCGATCAGCTGGTGCTCAGTCCTTCAAAGAACTGAGCAGGGCCTCTTGGGCAGGAGCAAGGAGATTACAAAGAGCACCACGGCTCTTTGCCAACTCCTCCAAGCAGCCAATCCCAGCTGGCTTGCTCCACTGATCGGTGGTGATAGCAAGCCTTGCTTGCCAATACACAACTGGGAGCACTTTAAGGCTGCGCACTGGCAGCCCTGTCACGTGTGTTATCGGTTGTGGCTGTGGTTTGGGGATAAGTCTCCTAGACCAGAGGTCCCCCACTGCTATGGGAAAGGAAGATTTACTGCCTCAGGATCTCAAAGGATAAAAGCTCAAAGATAGGACTTCTCTTTTCTGTTGGATCAAGCCCCAATAGAACACCACGTCTAATTCTGCAGGTTATGGTGGAAAAATCACCCTAGGCAACACCTACGCAGTGGAGACCTGGACATCATGCCAGCTCTTTGAGAGGTTTTGCTTCAGGCCATCCAAAGGGGTCAGGCCCAGCTTTCTCTTCAGCTCCCCACAGTGTCTCTCTTTGGCAGCCAATACTTGGCGCAGGGTGCCTATCTCCTCTTCCACCTGCAAAAAAAAAGAGGAGAGGTATCTGGGTTAGAGACCCGAATGTTGCAGGAGCAGGTACCTAACGATTCAGCATGGAAGGTGAGCCGTGACGTCCTGGCCTCCAAGAGAAGAGGCAAGCAAGACATGGACCACAAAGCATTTTAAACGTATTAATCAACATAACTGCTTATTGCGCTAAACAGCTTAAGCTTTGTTCTGCAAATAGTGGGCTGTGGCCACAACTGGGTTGTAGCCTGTTGTAACGTGTGAGGCAGCAGTGGTGCTGCCAACATACAAATACTTCACAAAATTAAGAAGTAGGTCGGGCTAAAGGCAGCTCCCCAGAAGACCGAAGATTATTTATCTAGAGCACTGTTCCCCTGACTTGGGTCTCGGCTGTTTTGGAATTACAATTCCCATCATCCCCGACTGGTCCTGCTAGCTAGGGAAGATGGGACTTGTAGTCCAAAAACAGCTGTATACCCAAGTTTGGGAAACCCTGTTCTGGAGCAGAAATGGCCAGAAAGTAGGCCACAGTGGGCCGCCTAACAGCTGATGGTTTCTGGGATTCTTGCCAGAACACTGTACTAGCTGGACCTTGATCTGATTCTGCAAACACTCTTTGTGTACACGTGAAGAACTCAGGGCCACTTCCTACAGATTGGTTGTTCCTTAACTGCCTAAGTATTATGGGCATGTGATTTTACTTTTGTGAGTTTAGACCATGCAGTTTCTGATTTAAAAAAGTAGACTGCATAGAAGTGATATCAGCCCTTGTACAAAGAATATAATTGATTAGGGAGTTTCCCCAGCACATCAGCTTTAAGGGAGACCTGACACAGCAACATTCCTGATGGATGTGTTTGTATGAACACAGCTCTCTGTTTCCGCAGTCAAGTTTCACATGCAGGCCAATTTGTGGTATGAAGCCCAATCAGGAGGAAGAGAAAATATCAAAGTGTTGCAATGTGTGAACAGTGGACCTGACATATCAGTGATTTGCTTCCAGTCCTCAAGGAAATCCACGGTTATTTATCTACAGAGGACTGTGTGTGTTGCAAAAGGTTCTTGGGCACGTTTCGGGACATACCATCTCAGCTTAGGTCTGGCCAGAGTCCTGCATGCTAGACTTTAACACTATCCCACAGAAGCTAAGTGCACGCCTAGAATGTGCCAAAGAAAAGGGTTTTTAAAAAGGAAAGTATTCAGCCACCTTTCTTTACTAAGCAACCACAGGATTCCTAAGGAGCAGGGTTTGAACAACAGTTTTAGAAAACCATGAGCAAGACCAGTATTACAGAGAAGACCTACTGCCAAAGAACAGTGCAGTGTTGGAACTGGAATGGGGAAAGTTTTACATCCCCAGAGAGATAGCCATGAAGCTCACTGGGTAATCTTGGGCTAGTGTGTCACCCTAACAACTCACAGAGTTGTTCTGAGGATAAACGTTGTGGAGACCACATCTGCCACCCTCAGCTTCTCAGAGGAAGGGCAAGACAAAAATGTACTAAAGGAATATTTGAATTCCCAGGTAATGCGACTGTTCACATAATAGCGCCTTCAAATGCCACAATATTATCTAAAACTCTAAAGCAGTGTTTCCTCAAACTTGGGTCTCCGGCTGCTGTTGGACTACAACTTCCATTATCCCTGACCACTGGTGATAGCCAAGGATGATGGGAGTTGTAGTCCAACAACAGCTGGAGACCCAGGTTTGAGTAAAAACTGCTCTGAAGGAACATGTCTACAAAAGAGGGAACTACAAGGTTACACCAGGCACTTTAGAAATTCTGTTCTGTGAGCTTTCTAAGTCTGAGCTCTTTAGAGCTACAGAGGAAGAATTATCTGGTCTCCCTGGTACCACAGCAACAGAGCACAGCATGGAGAAAAGCAGAGTGTGAAGGCAGCCTCCTTTACCTTGACCAGCTCGGCCCTTAGCTCCTCTTCCTCCGCTTCTGTGAGCCCATTGTAGGCCGAGGCCCTTGCAGGAGGAGCAGCGGTGGCGGCAGCACTCGTGTTATCCACAGGCACATCTGTCATAGTATCCGACAACAGACCTTTGTTGGGAGAGTTAAGGTTGATATCTGTCATGGACAAGAAGCAAACCAGGGGGGAAAGGATAAGCAGCTAAAAGGCAGAGCATGTTAGTCTTGCAGGCGCCCCTCTATACGGCGAAGGAGAAGAGGGAAAAGAGGAACAGACTGTTCTAAATCAGGTCCTGCCCAAGAGACCCGCAGAAGCATATTTGCATTATCAAGAGCTCCAGAGAAGCAGCTTCTCACAAGCTGCATCCACAACAACAACTGTGCACCGTCTGCTGTCCCTGGAGACATGGCCTCTTCCCTTCCCCTCCAGCTGACACGTTCGGGGATGGCAATCTAGCGATTTTGTCATTCTCCTTGCAGGGAGAGCAGGTAACTCAAGGCTGCCTCGCACAGTAACCCAGCGACAAACCCAGGTTTGCCAGAGCATACATAAGGACTTGCCTTTTTATTATCAAGGCCATCTACCTTAGTATTGTCTACACTGACTGGCAGCAGCTCTCCAGTTTCAGAAAGGGGTCTCTGCCAGCCCTACCTGGAGATGACAGGATTTGAACCTGGGACCTTCTGTGCTCAGGACAGATCCATAAACTACAGTCCTTACCCTTCCATACCCTTGACAGGGAGCCAACGCTAGTACTGGCATTCTGAAGACCGCATCTATACTGCACACATCCTCCTATTATTCTCATTCCCCCCTGGAAAACGAAGGGGTGGGCCTATTAAGACCACAATGGGTTGCCTTGCTTCTTGTAATCTATATTGGAAGTGTGCCAAGGGATTTGGTGGCCTTGCTGCCTCAGGAGTGATATTATGCTGACAGTCACTGGCAGAGGAGCTCCTCCGAGCCCAAAAGGGTGGGGTAAACAGAAAGGTCTCTAGTTGCTTGCTGAACATGAGCTTGGGGCAGGGTAGAGGAAGTGTGATATATACGAGGCAGAAAAGCCGAAATCCACACTATGTTCCAAAGTTCATGGAGGAGAAGCTTCCTAAGTTGCTATCTCTACGCCGAGCTTACCTCATTGTTTTGCTGCAAGGCTATAAATCACCTTGCTGCTTGCTTAGAGGGATGGAAGTGCAAGACATGAATAAATGAAGCTAATGCAATATGACCTCGCTGTACAAGCCCTAACCGTTTCCCACAAAGGCCAGCTTCAGGAGCTTTTCCAATTCTGCTGAATTACGTTAAGGTAAAGGGACCCCTGACCATTAGGTCCAGTCATGGCCGACTCTGGGGTTGCGACGCTCATCTCGCTTTACTGGCCGAAGGAGCCGGCGTACAGCTTCCGGGTCATGTGGCCAGCATGACTAAGCCGCTTCTGGCGAACCAGAGCAGCGCACAGAAACGCCGTTTACCTTCCCGCTGGAGTGGTACCTATTTATCTACTTGCACTTTGACGTGCTTTCGAACTGCTAGGTTGGCAGGAGCAGGAACCGAGCAACAGGAGCTCAGCCCGTCGCGGGGATTCGAACTGCCGACCTTTTGATCGGCAAGCCCTGGGCTCTGTGGTTTAACCCACAGCGCCACCCACGTCCCGAATTACGTTACTCTTCAGCAATTGCGATGACACCCTCTAGGGCAAGGGGTGGGGCACCTGAGCTGGGGCCCTCCAGATCTGCTCCAGACAGCAAGGGGCAGATGAGAAGTTTGGGTCTAGGGCCCCAGGCTCCCATCCCAGCTCTAGAAATTGCAAGCTGACCACTTTTCAGCATAAAAAGAAGTACTCTTGCTGTCTTTACCCCTCAAAAGCCCTGCAGATAAGACAGCAGCTGCACTTTCAAAGACACAAAGGAGCAGGCAAAAGGTTAGTTTAGCAAACAAAGCATCACTACACACACGACTGTGTGTTACTGCTCACAGCAGACGGGAGTCGAGAGCCTACATAAGCACGTTAGAAATTAATGCAGCTGCTTGAAAAACAGAGGAGAATCGCACAGACCGTATGCTATCATTCTTTGCTGGTAAGCATCAAAGGCAAACCTCTCAAGAAAAATGAAAGCAGGGAATCTACTGAAGCTCAAAGCTATAACTCTTTGATCTCAAGCTAACCCACTTAAAAGGATGGTGGGTAGCTCAGATTCTTGAGCTCTGCATTCAGCCTCCTGGAATTCCACCACAGGTCCTCCCCACCTAGCCCCCTGATCAAATCCTTGAGGCTCCCTGCGTAAGGGGTAGTGCAGAATCAAAGACCAAGCTTAACATTTTGAGTCTCCTGACTCCCATGATCACTCAGCAATCCATATGCCCTGCCCACCTAAATTCAACCATCATGCCCATCCAACCAGGGTTCAAATCATAGCTGTCAACTTTTCCCTTTTCTTGCAATGAATCCTATTGAGAATAAGGGAATTTCCCTTTAAAAAAGGGAAGCATTGACAGCTATGGTTCAAATCCTCACTCCGCCTCAACCCCCACTGAGTGTGCTTGGGCCAGCTGTTGCCTCTGAACTTGACCTACCTCACAGGCTTGTTGTGGGGATTAAAAGAGGAGAGGAGACCTATGTAAGCTCTCTGATCCACCAACTTCTTCCCTCAGCTGGGCCTACACAGAAACAACTCTTGCATGTAAACACCTTCCTTTCTTAATAATCCCCTTCCCACTCACTCTCCATGTGGCGCACCCTAACCCAACCCACCTCAAAAGCAAACATTCCTGCTGCACTGGATTTAGATCCAGGCCTAGTTCTCAACTTCAAGGTGGTCTTATTTTTATTTAATAAATAAAATAATAATAATAATAATAATAATAATAATAAACTGTGGACTATATTTAGGGTAGCTGCTACTTAAGACAACTTCCCTGCCAGCTTAAAAGTAATACATAGTTAATTACAAGAATCACCCTAATCAGCCTAGGAAAAACCCCAGCACCAGCTATGACCTTACAAACTCTCCAGCCAGCTGAAACCCCAGCATCTGCTCTCAAAGGCCACTCCCCCAAAACAAACAGATGCTCAATCCCCATTTAAAAGCTCGCAAGGGAGGAGGCTATTGGCACCAGGAAGGGTATACCAAAATCATGGGGCCGCCACTGAAAAGGCTCCCACATAACATGCCTGCACACCGAAACTCACGTTGTTCCACAATACAAACAAAAGGGGGGGGGGAGAAAATCATTTTTGCCCATTTCATAAAATTTAAGCACTCCATGATCGTAAAACAAAACAAAACCTTCAAGTGGTTTTCAAAACTCCTGCACACAGAAATCTAATGTCAGAGATCTAGGCCAGAGTAAGCTGGCCTAGAAGCCTTCTTCACAATATACCACCTTTCCACATGCAGGAATCTGTCCACTTACACAGCCTAGAAACCATCTCCCCGATACGCTGGCTTTCTACATACAGGGCTCTGCCTACTTACATGGCCCAGAAGCCTCATCCCTGACAGGCTAGCTTTCTACATGAAGGAATCTCTTCACTTAGCCTAGAAGCTTTGCCTACTTATATACGGGCTAAAATCCTACCCCTATAAGTTACCTTTCCACATGCAGGAATCTGTCCACTTACACAGCCTAGAAACCGTCTCCCCGATACGCTGGCTTTCTACATACAGGGCTCTGCCTACTTACATGGCCCAGAAGCCTCATCCCTGACAGGCTAGCTTTCTACATTCAGGAACCTCTTCGCTTATACAGTCTAGAAACCTCCCCCTCGACATACTAGCTTTCTCCGTGCAGGGCTCTGTCCACTTCCATGGCCCAGAAGCCTCATCCCCGACAGGCTAGGGATGCGCTCGCTTGCCAGGCCCCGCCCCACCTGCCGCCCCCCTTCAGCCCGAAGCGGTGCCGCCCTAGAGGAAGCCGAGAGCGGGCCGGAGGCAGGATGCGTCCCGCCCCGGGGCCTGGCCTCCTCCCGCCCCAGCGCGGCCTTCCCAGGGGGAGGAGGCGGCGGAGGCGGCCCTCTCCCCGGCCCGGCCTGCCTTGGCCTACCCTGGCTGGCGCTCTCCATCTCGCCCGGAGGCCGCTGCGCAGCTACGCGAGGGAAGGAGGCGGCGGCGGCGGCAGCAGCGGCAACAAACTCCTCGCTTGACGGCGCGGCGACGTCACACGCCTCCCGCTCTTCCGTCTCCGCACACACACAAGCTCACTTCCGGCCTCCCCCGGAAGTCGCAGCTAGCAACGTCATCAGGAGGTGCTTGCGGCCTTAAAGAGGAAATTACAAAGGGCCAAAGCTGCCGCCCTCACTTCCGGATCCCTTTTGACGCTTCTGCATCGAGGAGAAATCCTCAATATAAATCGGGGTTAGACTCTCCATTTGCTTTCTCCACGTTGGCCGAGGTGTGCCGTTATCCTTCGGTTCCCCCTCCCTTTCCCTTCCCCCCCCTGCTTTGGGGAGAAAAGCGTGGCTGTTTCAAAACAGGGCAGTCTGCCTCTAGCCTATCTCGGAAGCATTTTTAAAGGCTGGCGTAGAAATCTGAAGCAGAAATTGCATTTCGGTTTCAGATTTTGCACTGAACCTTAAATGTCTTCACCGTTCAGTCCACGCGCTGTTACGACCTGCGATCGGAATCCGGAACTAGCTTGCGGATTCGCTCCAGCCCGCAGCCCTTTGGTGTCACTCTTTGGCTGCAGACCAAAGGGGTTCAATCGCAAAGTTGCGCTTATGATTTCCGGGCAGTCTTGTCGACGGCGCTGCCCTGGACGTGGTTTGAGGGGTGACAGAAGTCTGCGGTGCGCAACTGCAGTTACTTAGTCATTTATATATATAATTGGCTATTAACTGGCGCCACGGCGCTTGGCAGTTGGTGGGTTCACAGATAACGTTCAGCAGGTGTGCAGTTTGTCTCTACCCAACAAATGAACTGTACACACCAGTGATGGCCAAACTTGGCCCTCCAGCTGTTTTGGGACTACAATTCCCACCATCCCTGACCATTAGCTAGGGATGATGGGAGTTGTAGTCCAAAAACAGTTGGAGGGCCAAATCTGGCCATCACTGGTATACACCCTTTCACGCAAACACTTGAGCAGGTTGCAGAAACAGTTTGCACCTATGTGCAAAGAGTAAGCAAGCCTAAAAGCTCACATTTTCCTCTCCCCCCCCCCAAAAAAATTGTTGGGCCAGTACTATGACGGCTGAGTGCCTCATAAGGGCCAGTCTCCTGGTATGGAAGGTTAGGGACCCCTATCCATTAGGTCCAGTTGTGGCCAACTCTGGGGTTCCAGCGCTCATCTCGCTTTATTGGCCGAGGGAGCCGGCGTACAGCTTCTGGGTCATGTGGCCAGCATGACTCAGTCACTTCTGGCGAACCAGAGCAGCGCACGAAAATGCCGTTTACCTTCCCGCCGGAGCAGTACCCATTTATCTACTTGCATTTTGACGTGCTTTCGAACTGCTAGGTTGGCAGGAGCAGGGACCGAGCAATGGGAGCTCACCCCATCGCAGGGATTCGAACCGCCGACCTTCTGATCGGCAAGTCCTAGGCTCTGAGGTTTAACCCACAGCGCCACCCACGAACCTTTACTCGGAAGGTTTACTCAGAAATAAAAGCAGCAGTGATACAATTAAAACTCAAGAGCATCCAGCACAGCACAGCACAACTGCTACAGTCGGGAAAGCCATTCAGTGATCCACCAAGACCCTCAGCAATTTTCAAGTTGTGGGCAGGGGACAGTTTTATAACCATTGCTCTAGTTGCGTAGAAATATGCTAAAATTTAACCCAACATATTTCGATTTGAATTGTTCACGGGCACCTTTGGGCCTAACCAATTTCAATCAGCCAGCCCCCCAGATCAACAGCTAAGCAATACTTTCATTGGGTCCAACCACAACATCACAAAAGGTGTGGCAAGCTTTCGAGTTCTTCAGCGGGTAGGATGTTACACAACACAGGGGCTGAGGGCGACCAGGCAGGGCGATGTTTGCTCAGGACTAAGCCTTGCTGAGAAATGGAGGCAGTGAGAGATTTTACTTTCTTGGGCTCCATGATCACTGCAGATGGTGACAGCAGTCACGAAATTAAAATACGCCTGCTTCTTGGGAGAAAAGCAATGACAAACCTAGACAGCATATTAAAAAGCAGAGACATCACCTTTCCAAAAAAGGTCCGTATAGTTAAAGCTATGGTTTTCGCAGTAGTGATGTATGGAAGTGAGAGCTGGACCATAAAGAAGGCTGATCGCCGAAGAATTGATGCTTTTGAATTATGGTGCTGGAGGAGACTCTTGAGAGTCCCATGGACTGCAAGAAGATCAAACCGATCCATTCTTAAGGAAATCAGCCCTGAGTGCTCACTGGAAGGACAGATCCTGAAGCTGAGGCTGCAAGACTTTGGCCACCTCATGAGAAGAGAAGACTCCCTGGAAAAGACCCTGATGTTGGGAAAGATGGAGGGTGCAAGGAGAAGGGGACGACAGAGGACGAGATGGTTGGACAGTGTTCTCAAAGCTAACAGCATGAGTTTGATCAAACCATGGGAGGCAGTGGAAGACAGGAGTGCCTGGCGTGCTCTGGTCCATGGGGTCACAAAGTCGGACACGACTAAACAACTAAACAACAACAAGCCTTGCTGAGTTTAATGGGACTCATAACTCCATTAAGCCTGGGACTGATGGAAGTTTTGGTTGACAATCATTTGTAGGGTACTAGGTTGGTAAAGGATGCTCTGGTGGGTTTGATTAGTAGGGGAGTCTTCCCTTCTCCTGTCCTTCCTTCAGTCTGTCATGTCTCCCTTTGGTCTGTAGGTGGAGGTATCAGCCCAGGTATCCCTTCTGCCCCAGGCTTGTTGCTTTCACATCTCTAAATTAATATCTCTAAATCCACGCACCTTGGTTTAGCATCCTGGCAGAAAGATGTTCCGCAAGCGAGGGGCAAGTGGTGAGTCACTGGGAAAATAAGCTCTCATGTTACAGCTTAGCTGAGGCAATCTAGCTTAACCACTTTTAAAGGGATTTCTGGGGAAATCATTCCGACTTAACCATTTCTGCTTTCAGGGACATCTGCATACCGCATTACGCAGTGAAGAGGTCTTTATTCTCAGGAACTGGGCCTTTATTGTGGTGGCAACTACCCTTTGGGAACCCCCTTACAGATTAGACAGACACCTCTATTGTCTTTTCTACATGAATTGAATACTTTCTTCTTTAGCTATCCCACTTGTCTGCATCTGTAGTGGAACTAATTTTTTTGTTATACCTGTTTTCGTATGTGGAATTGTTTCAAAATGTCCACATTGTTGCTATATATGGAATTCCTTTATAAATGGAACTGTTTTTTACAGTTTTTGATGGTTACGATGCTTTATCTGTTTTACCAGTATATATTTTATTGTTGTAACCCACCTTGGATCTTGAATAAGAGATCTAACAAATAAATAAATAAATTACAGAAACATCACAAAGTATTGCCCTTCTGGGGTAAGTCTTGGGTGGGGGTATTAAAATGGCAGCTGTCAGCAGCATGGAGGCTGTAAGAGCCCTGGCTGACATGACTCTCACGCTCCTACAAAATTCACCCACCAGCATCCCGAAGGCAAAATAAGGGAACTGGTTTGATAAACCACCTCTCGTTCAGTTCTGCCCTGTCCCCTTAAAAAACAAAAATACCCAGGCTGAACTTTCAGCCTTCCCGAAGTTTGGCCTGGTCCCAAGTTAAATCCTTGACATTTTCAGCATCCGCACCATATGTTTAAAACACTTTAATACCACTTTCAGAGTCCCAAATAATTCTGGGCATTATAGTTTGTAGTTTGTTAAAAGTGCTGTTAGGAGATCCCTCTTCCCAGAGTTCCCTGGGGAAAGGGATTGGCTGCCTTCAGATGTCTTCTAAAAGTCAGATAGTTCTCTTTGACGGTGGGAGGGCGTTCCACAGGGCGGGCGCCACTACCGAGGAGGCCCTCTGCCTGGTTCCCCGTAACTTGGCTTCTCGCAGTGAGGGAACCGCCAGAAGGCCCTCGGAGCTGGACCTCAGCGTCCGGGATGGACAATGGGGGTGGAGACGCTCCTTCAAGTATAGTGAGCCAAGGCCATTTAGGGGTTTAAAGGTCAGCACCAACACTCTGAATTGTGCTCAGAAACATACATTGGCCAAAAGAGCCCTGCATTGCAGGGGGTTGGACTAGATGACCCACGAGGTCCCTCCCCAGTGTGCAGTTCTAGGATTCTATGGCTGTGCATACTTACTGATCATGCTGGTGCTTTTGGAAAGAGAGAGAGAGCGTCTGATAGTCCCTCCAAGGGACATAGGCCTGAGGGTCCATGTGCACCCTGCACCTGGGGGGAGAAACAGATAAGAGGTTCTGGGCTGACAGCCTTGACTTGTGACATCCCAGCAGTAAGCAAAAGAAATGGGTCCTCCTTCTTCTGACACCAGAACTGCCTGGCTGGCCCCATCTGCACTATGCAGTTAAAGCAGTATGATACCACTTCGAAGTCATGGATTCCCTTGCCCCAAAGAATCCTGGGAGCTGTAGTTTGTTAAGTGTACCGAGAGTAGGGCTGCCATGTCTTGAAGGGCAAAAAAGAGGACAGCCCGAGCCGCTGCCAGCCCAAGCCGGGGAAAGAGGTGCATGCCTTTTCCCCCAGCTCGGGCTGGCAGCAGCTGCGGTGTGCAGAGCAGCCCAAGCCTCAGCCACTGACAGCCCAAGCGGTGGCAGGACCCCAGCTCATATCTGATCTTCGCTGCGGCGGCTTCACTCTGCTGCGGCGCTTCTGGGGCACAGCACCCTCTTGAGCATGCTCGTGCCCCCCCCAAAAAACCCAGACATTTCCTTTAAAATGTAAACAAATGTAAAAATAAGGGACATTTTTTTAAAATAATAGAATACAGATTACTCAAATGTAAGAGAAATATGGAAACCGCAAAAAGAGATAGAGGGAAGTCAATTAACATAGGAGGGACTCAAACCAGTTTAGTGCAATAGAATGAAAGTGACGGTAAAGGGGAAAAAGAAAAGATGAAATATGAAGGTAATGTCTTTCTAGGAACTTTGGATATAGAATGTTCAAA